TTAGCTCTGTGCTGTAACAGGCCCTGGTTTGGCAGTCAGGCTTTGTTCCAGGACCTCACTGTGGATGAGCCCATGTCACCATTTCATTTTCAAGGTGGCTTGGGGGCAAAGCTGATGGGATGACTGAAGAAGCTAGATGCGCTGCTGTGTGGAGTGACAGCTCAGCCTCAGTGAGTGTGGGGGGTGCTGCAGCTAGGCGTGCCCGGCCTCTGCCACTGCCCTGGCCCTGCTCAGGCTGTCAGCCTCCCCAAGGGCTCGATCGTTTCTCCCTGTTCTCACTAGCACATCACTGGCAGTGGGTTGTCTCAGCAGGATTATTCCGGACAGCTCTCAGCCTTGTATTATGATGAACCTTCCCTGGACTGTGGGGTTTCCATAGTGGCAGTGAGTCCCTGACTTGCTGATTTTAAGCTTGACATTGCTGTGCTGTATGTGCCGTTCCCAACCCCACACGTGTTCCTACTTGAGGATGTTCGTTCCTGCCTGCTAGGGGAGAATTTCTTGGTTGATGGAGATTTAACTAAAGGAATTGAACAGTGTTGGTTCAGGTGGTGCTCATGGAGTGGCTAAGGATGGGGTGCAGCTCTCCTGCCCCGCAGGCCCCCATATGCTGGGGACTTACCTGAAACTTGAGTCTTTGGGCAGACAGAGAGCTGGGGAGATGGTCAGAGCTCAAGCAAGTTGACTGAGTCCTTGGAGAGCCAAGGAAGGTGCCAGGCTCGGAGGAGCGCTGCATTCTCCTCCCTACAACAGTGTGTCCTCTGGCTTCGCTGCACTTGAGGCGTGAGGGCTATCCCAGGACGCTCAGTGTGCAGCGCGAGAACTGTCATGGCGGGCTGTTCATCCTTCCCGGCGTGCCGGCCGGAGGGTGTTGGTAAAGTACCATGCCATGCGGCCAGTTAGCTAGTTGGGCTGTTGGGGAAGTGCTATGGATGATTTGAAGCTGCGTGGCAGTGAAATATCATGGTTTCTGTGTTCTTGAATTCCGACAAAGCTCTGCCACCTTCAGTTATGTGGTCTGTGCTTGATAAGACGAAAAGTCTGGTTGGTGGTGTGGAACCAGGATCTGTCATCGTGGGCTTCTTGCCTGCTTGGCCCCTTGTCTGCCGTGTATGCAGGAGGGCCTCTGCTTCCAGACTGGAGCTTCTGAGCCTTTTGTAAAGCTCATCCATTCCATTTCCCTTACTTTAAAGCTAGAGCAGCAGAGCAGCTGGTCCCATTTCTGCCCTTGACTGTGTGATTCTGGCCACCTGGGACGGGTGGGGATAAGAGAGGCTGTTACTCCCAGGCCCTGCTCTCATGGGCATCTATACTGGGCCTGGAAAAACTGGCCCAGGGTAGGCAGTGGGGAGGAGTCCACGCGGTCATGGCTGGGGGTTTGAGCCAGTTAGGATCACACCGAGGAGCTGGTCCTTTACCCTTGGGAAGCCTCACGGGGGATAAGAGTTATCTCCATCTTAGTTTTTCTCTTTTCTCATTTTGCTACAAGACAGAATTGTATCACACATCTCCAAAACGAGTAAAATGGCATTTCAGCTTCTTGTCTTTATAGACTCTCTGAACTTTAGGAAAGATCATTCTGGTCCCTTTTCATTAATAATGAAAACCAGGGGGCAATAAAATGTTCTTAATGCGAGCATGGCAGGGAGGAGGGGCAGTGCAGGGTGAAGCGGGTGGCCGGCAGGGAGCCACAGGTGTTTGTCGAGACTTAAGTAGGTCAGAGCTTTGGGAAGGTGGGGCAGCCGTAGAAGGGGTCCTGGATCCTGGACCCTGGCTGCCGCATCTGTTCAGCACTGGCAGCTCCAGTACCCAGAATGAGCGGCTGCGCTTCTCAAGGCACGGTGTGTTTGCAGACGATCAGAAGGGTCCAGCACACTTGGGTTCTGGTTGTTTTATCCTGGTTACAAGTGTTTTCGTATAAGATAGTGGGTATTGGAGAAGTCAATGGTGAATATAATATTCTGGACATGTGCCCATTTTGAAGATGCTCTCTGAAGATTTTGGCAGCACAGATGGATGTTCTGAGTGTGTATTTAAGTTACTCTATTTTCATTTTTTCCTCTTAAGAATGAACTAGTACTAGATGTTTGGTTTTTTGCATCAAAGCACTCAGAACAGAGCAAACTAGGAATGAGACAAAGAGGCTTGCCTGGGACTCAGAGCTCCTGGCTCCTCAGAAAAGTCCTGGCTTGCTGGAGTCCAAATCCCAGAGCCCACAAAAGAGTAGATTGATGAACTTATATAAACATGAAAACACTGCATGCACAAAACACCATAAGCAGAGTCACAAGAAAAATATACCGGGAAAGATTTCTGCAGCTCCTGTAGAGACAAAGAGCTAATTTCCCTGCTCTATAAGGAGTTTCTATACATTGACAAGGAAATTGGTAAAGAAATCGAGTGAAAAGGTAGGGAACATTACACCAAAAAGGAAATACAGATGAAAAGATGCTCAGTCCTCAAGACAAATGCATATTAAACCTAGAGTAAAATGCTCTTTTCCGCTCTAGTATTGGCAGGAATCTTTGAGGATGATTAACCCCTGGTGTTGGAGTGGCAGTGAGTGGAAAGGCACCCCTGTATGTGGCTGGTGGGATTGAACTGATTCATTTCCCTTGGGGGGCAGTTTGGTGGTGTCTCTCAAGATTGCAAATGCATATCCCTTGGACCCCGTCTCCTAGGAATTCATGTTTAGAGATGTAGATAAACACATACATGAGATGACATATGTACATGGTCAGTTGATGGCAGCATTGTGTGAAATAGAGACTGGAAGTCGTCTTGTGTCCATCAATAGGGAATTAGTTCAATGGAACATTATGCAGCTGTAGAAAAAAATAATGAGAAATAGGGGAGAGAGAAAAATAGTACACATCCATGTGCATAAAAATTATCTAGCAAGAGAGACAAGAAGCTACTAGCTTTGGCTCTTGGTAGAGGGAGCCTGTTTGCAGCAGGCTTTCGTGAGCCATGCAGTGTTCAGACCGCATGCGTGTATTACCTATTCAAAACCTACCGAACAAAAAAGGGAACTGAGGGCTTTGGAAGAGGTCACCTGTTGGTCCCAGTTTGTGAAGGAGATTCCTGGGCTGGGCCGCACTGGGAAATGCCCTTGGAATCCACTGGCGGGGTGGGCAGAGGGGGAAGGGGGTGTGGTGGCCGAGGCGCTACTCTTCCAGGCTCCTCTCCCTCCCAAGAGCCCTGGGCGGCAGCTCGGGGAGGAGGGAGGGGCTCCCGGGCCCCCGTGGAGGTCTTTGGATCCCCCGGCCAGCCTGCGTGCCAGCAGGCCTTCCATCCCGAGTGCCCACGTCCTGCCGCTGTCCTTTGGGCAGGAAACGCCAGGACAGGACGAGTACCTCGAGAGCTTGCAGGTGCAGGGGAGAGGTGGAGGCCGAGACACACCTGCGTCTGGCCCTGAAGACAGGAGGGCTTCAGCTCTGCCCGCTGAGTTGTGGCGCCCCTTTCAGGAGTCTCAGGAATGCTTTGCTCCTCCTTCCTCACCTCTTCGCTCCCCAGTTCACCTCCAGACCCCAGCTTCCTTGTCAGGGCAGCGTGCTTGGCCGTGCCTTCTGGATGGCTTTCCGTGGCACTGTGGCCTCAGCCCACACACTGACCGGCGCCCCACACCACTGACCGTCCTGGAAACAGCGGTCCATGCTCCCTTAATGGCAGGTCTCTTGAGGGGGCAGAGCGCCACATAGGGTGGCCCAGCCACGGACATTTGAAAGGGAGATAACACTTTCCTGTGTGCCCCGGAAAGATTGGGGATCAGATAAGCTTATGACATGAAAGCACTTGGTAAACAGTACACGGGAGAGATTATGAAGCAGGAAACTCCTCTCTTCCTGGGGAAGTAGTTTCATTCAGGAGTCGGGCAGCGTTTGTGGATGCCATTCCGCCATGCGCTGGCCCGGCAGCCTGCGCTGTGGGGAGACCGCTGTCCAGCTTGGATCCTCCATGGCAGCCGCGCGTTGTTCCCCTGAGGCTGTCCCATCCTGGCTCCAAAAAGTCACCTTTTGTGGTCCTTGCAATAGCCACCTTCCCACTTTCTTACCTCTGTGACCTCCCAGCAGTAGTTTGCCCTTGAGGAAGCTGATGTTCTCCCAGAATTAAGAGTGAACCCAGCCACTCCCTCCTTCAGGGCCTCCAGTGACCCCACTGTCTGGGAAATGGCCCTCAGGCTCCTTGGCCCCTGCTTCCTCCACCCCCACCCCCACTGCTCCCAGGTTTGCTCGACCCTCCTCTGCCCTTGTCCCCCTCCCCTCTTGGCCCAGCCAGAGGGCCCACCAGGCCTCCACTGGCCTCCTCTCCTCTGAGCGCAGGTCTTGGCGTCAGCCTTCTGCAAGGCCCTGCCCTGGCCTCTCACCTGCCCCCCCCCCGCCCTGCCTGGCGCTGCTGTTCACTCTCTGGCGCTACCTTGTTCAGTCATTCGTAGGCTGTCTCCTCCCCACCCGCTTACGTGAGAGCGGAATAGGCCGGGCGGTGGGGGGCAGTGTCTCGTCGCCACCCTCCCTCCTGTGCTTGCAACGCTGTCGGGCACACAGTCAGGACTGCACATAGTTTTGAATAAACAGATGATTCGGCCCTCCCTCCCCTCACCCGTCCCCTGGTTCTGGAGTGGCTCTTATCCCTGTCTGTGGTAGGGCTCATGGACATGTATTTACATGCATCTACGTGTGTTTACTGCACTGGGTCCTTTGTTCCTAGACTTGGAGACCATGCTCTAGGTCTCCAGATCGCCCTGCCACCTCACTCCCCTGTCTGGGACTTCGCTCTTGACCTGACACCTCTGCACAGCAGGTGCGCCTCCGAGGCAGACAGGTCCACGAGCCTGGGAAGGGGAGGGACACAGCTAGCCTCTGTTCGGACGATCATACGATGTCTCCTGCAGTTGCCAACCCTTTGACATGAAGAGACTGAGTACGCGTAGTCTCCCCTGCTCCTGGGAAGGACACGGGTGCCTCGTCTCCTGACGTACGTGCCTTTTCTCCCACTCTTAGGCCCTGTGGGGTCCCGATGGCGGGATTATGGTGCCTTGGCTATCATCATGGCGGGAATTGCGTTTGGCTTTCACCAGCTCTACAAGGTAAGTCCACCCTTCCCTGAACCCCCCACCGCAGCATTCAGTCCGTTCTCCCCCTGCCCTGAGGTCCGTCTGCGTAGAGGTGCACGATGGAGGAGTGGGGCCGGGCCTGTGGGCAGAGAGCACCCATGAACACACCCTCTGGAGGGGGCGTCCGGTCAAGTCCTGGTCCTGCTCTGCTGGAGGGGTGTGCTTGGCAGCTTTGGATCCTGTCTCCTGTTCTGGACTCAGCCTCTCTCCTCCAGGCCCCTGCTGCACAGGGTGTCTATGGCACCCATTGATCAACAAGCCATGTCAAATACTTAGAACTGTGCCCAACACATACTGAGCAGTTGGTAAATTTTTGAGACAAATGACATGGTGGTTCAGAATAGGGACACTGGGGCCCAGCTGCAAATGTTGCATCCTGGCTCTGCCACTTAGCTGTGTGACATCTGCATCTCAGCTGTAAAATGGGGACGATAGCGTCTACCTTACAGGCTGTTGTGAAGCCCCTGGAGTGGCCAGTACTGTTCTGGAAATTGCTGTGTGCCTGGTACATACGAAGTGCACTATATGCTGTCGTTTCACCTTCCTTTTGAAACCAGCTTTGAGAATTTCGGCATAGTCACATTTATAGGCCCCATTTTTCCCAGACATCATGGTCAACCCTCAGAATTCCAGAGTTTATTTCTTCCAACAGAACTTCAGGCACAAAATGAGCATTTACTCCTTGTTATCAGATACTAACCGCCAAGAGACTAACTTTGTTTTGAAGCAGATGAGGCTTTTCTATAAGATGCAGAGCCCCGGGAGGTCCCCAGAGACAAAAGGTAAAATGGGCCGGAGGACTGACTGTTGGTCCAAGAGAGAAGCCCCTTTGCTTACGATCCCGCCTGCAACTCCACCCCTGTCTGGAGATTTTTTGAAAATGAATCTGAGTGGAACGTGGAGCACGTTTAAACATTGCACTCTGGGACTCTTAATTTTTGACTCAGTTGCCAAAGCTAGTGACAGAGTTGTAGAGGAATATAATTTTTTTCATAGAAGAATATAATTCTTTTCAGTGTAACATCTATTCTTGGAATGGGAAATTTTCATGTCAAAAAGCCAGAAGCAAACTGTTCTGGGTGCTGGGGCCTCTCCCTCTGACCTGATGCCTCCTCCCCTTACCCTGTGTGCCGAAAGCCCATTTCCGGTCACTATCTGCATATGGTCACTGAGAAGAATAAAATGCTGAGACCGGATTCTCGGATCAGTGTCTCAGCTCTGCCGAGCGGCTCCTAATCATCACGCGGCTGCCCTTGGAGGGCCTGTGATCTGATGGAAATGGGAAGCGTAGTTCCCCTTGGAGCAAAGCAGGGAGAGCATCAGTTGTTTCCACGAAACTCTGATCTTTACTCTCTGCTTTAAAAAAGAAAAGAGACTTCGAAAGATCAGTCACAATCGTGGCAAGAGAATTTCTGAAACATCTGCTAATAGTTTCGTTAAAAAAAAAAAGGAAAGGTAAGAGCTGTCACCTTGTTTTATCGATATGGACTGAGGCTGGAGTAGTGGATGTGCTCCTTCCCTTGACATTTTTGATCTCAGAAATGGAATTTTTAGCTTGTTACACGTATAAGAATTCTTTGACTTTTATACTTAGGAAATTTTCAGCCTGGAACGTAAGGCTACATTTGATGAGCTTTGGCTCAGTTGTGGGTAATAACTCACACAGTGGTTGAAAAGCACTTTGCAAAATAGAAAATGCTTCTGAACATGTGCTAAATAACCGTCCTCATTCAGGAGTGGCTCTTGAAACCCACAAACCCTGGGTGAGAAACCGCCCTTTCCTTCCCCTGTCCAGAAAACTCAGTGGAGAAGTTGTCTTTTTTCCCATCTGGGCTCCAAATGGAGTAGGAACCAAAGGTCTCCTTTGGTCACACCTGCCAGTCACCACACCTGCCCGCGCGCCCTGCACCACCTCTGGTGCCACCCCTTTCTGGTCCATGACGGTCTCGTGCTCCTAAAGCGGGAGCTGCTGTTAGAGCTCCTGTTCTTTGCCCAGCTCCCCTTCCACCGCGTCCCGCCCCAGAGCAGGCCCCGGTCCCCGCCGTGCCCCACTGCCTCCTTCCCGGGTGTTCTGAGACCCGCACCCTCCTCTAGCCTGGGCTCCCTGAGCTCTGGGCCCCCTCGTGTGCTCGCCCTCCAGCACTAGCTTCTTCTGCCCCTGTGATTAATGTCCTCAGGTTCTATGTTTGACTTTCACCTGAAAGAAACCTGTTCTGAGGAGTTAAGGCTTTGTTCAGAGAAAGACTGAGGTGACCTCTTTGGGTGGCCTCAGAACACCCACATATTATCCCTACTAAAAGAGCCAAAGGTCCCAGAAGCCTGTTGTGGATTTCCATTTAGGCTCTCAAATAACTTTTTGATTATTTCATTTACTCATTTGTTTCCAAGTGGATAATTCATTCTCATGCCTCAAAATGGTAAAAGGTTCAGAAAAGTGTCGGAAAAGCCTTCTTCCCTCTCCTTCCTGGAGGCCGCTAATGGTGTCACTTTCTTGTATAAGCTTCTACATTTTTATCTTACAATTTGTCAACTTTTAAATATTTTTTGGAACAGAAATATAAATAGTGCCATTAAGATAACTGACCAAAAGAACCACAGAGAGACCGAATGGATTCTACTTGTCCCTCTTCCCTGGTCCCTGTCCTTATCCAGACAGAGTTTTTATGTGGTTGTAACCACAGTCCCGTGACTTTCAAACGTCTTGTTCACTGGGGGTGTTTGTGTGGGGGTTCCAGAGCCCAGGGGCAACAGGGAGAGAGCTGGTCGGCAGAGTTGGAGAGAGGGTTGGGGACTAACCCCAAGTGCGCACCCATTCCTTGTGCCCATCCTGCCTCTTGTAGAAATACCTGCTCCCCCTCATCATGGGTGGCCGAGAGGACAGGAAGCAACTGGAGAGGATGGAGGCGAGTCTCTCGGAGTTGAGCGGCAGCGTGGCACAGACAGGTAAAGATTAATGACTCCATCAAGTCACCCCTCAAAGCCTCTCCGAGCAGCCCCCTCTCTGCCCCCTCCCCTCCCCCCTCTGTCTCCACTTTATGTGGTGACTTCATTTATCTGCTCTGAGAATCTGTTCACATTTGCAAATGAAGCCGCCGTCATTTCGGTTTAATTTGAAATTGCTTGTTTACTGTCGGCGCGGCCTCAATTAATTATGTTTTTACGGAAAGGCTCCCAACCTCAGAATATTAATAAGGGGAATAAAATGACAGCCTTTCTAAGGGCTGTAAAGTTCATTTTTAATTTCTGCTTCTATGAGGTTTTCAGGGGGGTTTTCAATGATTTTCCCCCTTCCCTCTAAGAATCCAACACAGGGTCAAGAGAGGCTGTAATTACTGCGGCTCCAGGGACCCTGGCCACCTCCTCTGTCATCGACTCCACAGGGCTGGCGTTCATTACCCAGTGCCCCAATGATGGCCCAGATTAGCTGGGACCTGTCGCACCAGAGGTGGCTTTTCTCCTTTATAAACTTGTTTACCAGGTGGAAGCTCGGAATTCTAAAAAACTCAGGCAAGTGAGAGAGCCGCTGCCCCAGGCAGGAGCCTGGCCCTCAGGGGCGCATTTGCAAAGCCCTCAGAAACCCTCCTGAGGAGGCCACCAGTGGGACTCCAAGGCCGGGACAGAGTCATGTGACACGGCAGCCTCTGAGTGGGGTGGGGAGGGCAGAGAGGGGCAGCAGGGAAACAGAAGTAGCCGTTTTTAACCACTCCTGGATGTCGTGAACCTGAGTCACGTGCGTCTCTCCCAGGATTGGAGTCTCTGTGTTTCCACAAGGGTACAGTGAGGCCTGTGAGATGAGGGATGCAGGCATTACCGAAGTTGGAAGAGCAAGGCAAATCATAAGCAGATATAATTAGAGGGGAGAGGTTTTGGACGGATATACTGTTGACCACGGACAACTACACAATAGAAAGATAAAGTAGAAATACTAGAGGTTAGATACAGTGCAGGTAGATTACCCAGAGTGCAGATAAATTATGTGGATTGCTGGGGGTGGGGGATGTGTACAGATAAATTAGATGCAGCAGCTTCTAGGTGTGCGGACAGCGAAGGAGGGATCTGTGTGTATCGTCTAACAGAGATGCTCTCACCTCCAGTGACCCAGTTACAGATGACATTAGCCTCTGTCCAGGAGCTGCTGATTCAGCAGCAGCAGAAAGTCCAGGAGCTCGCCCACGAACTGGCCACAGCCAAGGTACTCGTCCCTGACCCTCTGGTTTCTCAGGTCCAGGTCCGTCGTGCATGCTCTTTGCTCTTGTCCTTCGTGCCCAGTTCACTGCGTCCCAGGACGTCACTGCCTTCCATCTGTCTGGCTTTGTCTTTTCTCACGCTGTTTACACCACAGGGGTCCGGGCTACCCTTGTAGAGAAAGGAGGCGGTCCCTGCGAGGGTGGTGTGGTGTTTGGTGATGGAGGCCGTCTTTTCTGTGGTGGTCACGTCCCATCAGGAGGGAGGAAGAGCAGCTGTCTGCCTGCGGCGCTCCTGTGGCAGCATACACCCGGCCCTGGAGGCAACTGGCGTAGACACAGGATGGCCTTCGCCTGCAAGCTAGGCCACGGGTCCTGGCATCGCCAAGAGCCATGCAGAGGCTGGGGTCAGGCAGAGGTGTGCCAGGGCACTGCGCCAGCCTGCTGCAATGGGCAGGTTCTCTAAACCAAGGGCCTGGGGTGTCAGTAACCCCTAAAGGAGGATAGTGCCAGCTTGGCATTGACCGGGGCTGTTTCTAAGCCTCACTTCCCTAATCTGAAGTAGTCTTGGCACTACTAGATCCTAGGGTCAGACTGCCTGGGGCAAAATTCTCCTCTGCCACATGCTAGCTCTGTGACCACAGGCAAGTTACTCAACCCCTCTGAGTCTTTGTTTCCTCATCTGTAAGATGAAGCTATAGCGGTACCTCCTACATTGTACATGCTTAGAACAGTGTGAGCTCCCATCAGCCCCCAGGATTGCAGGCTTCTGGCCTGGGTCTTTGGGTGTGGGACACGCTCATTCCGGAGGCTCCAATTTGGGCAGACTGGGTCCTGGAGACAGAGGCCCGCTGGCTCTGGGACCCCGCCGCTCTCCGCGTTCCATCGGCCTCTCCTGCTCCGCTTTGCTGCCTCCCTGCAGCCTGCCGCCAAGCTGTGGAGGACCTACTCTGAGGGCTCCCCCAGGGCAAGACCCACCCGGTACACAGCTACATGTGAACCCAGCCCAAGCCCAGTGAGTCTTTCCATTTCTGATGGAGTCGGGTTGCCTGTTGTGCAAGAGTCCCTAAAAACCCCCATGCGGAGCTGCTGTCCACCCTTCCCTGGGCTGGGTGTAGTTGTGCTTGCAACGCTGTCGGGCACACAGTCAGGACTGCACATAGTTTTGAATAAACAGATGATTCGGCCCTCCCTCCCCTCACCCGTCCCCTGGTTCTGGAGTGGCTCTTATCCCTGTCTGTGGTAGGGCTCATGGACATGTATTTACATGCATCTACGTGTGTTTACTGCACTGGGTCCTTTGTTCCTAGACTTGGAGACCATGCTCTAGGTCTCCAGATCGCCCTGCCACCTCACTCCCCTGTCTGGGACTTCGCTCTTGACCTGACACCTCTGCACAGCAGGTGCGCCTCCGAGGCAGACAGGTCCACGAGCCTGGGAAGGGGAGGGACACAGCTAGCCTCTGTTCGGACGATCATACGATGTCTCCTGCAGTTGCCAACCCTTTGACATGAAGAGACTGAGTACGCGTAGTCTCCCCTGCTCCTGGGAAGGACACGGGTGCCTCGTCTCCTGACGTACGTGCCTTTTCTCCCACTCTTAGGCCCTGTGGGGTCCCGATGGCGGGATTATGGTGCCTTGGCTATCATCATGGCGGGAATTGCGTTTGGCTTTCACCAGCTCTACAAGGTAAGTCCACCCTTCCCTGAACCCCCCACCGCAGCATTCAGTCCGTTCTCCCCCTGCCCTGAGGTCCGTCTGCGTAGAGGTGCACGATGGAGGAGTGGGGCCGGGCCTGTGGGCAGAGAGCACCCATGAACACACCCTCTGGAGGGGGCGTCCGGTCAAGTCCTGGTCCTGCTCTGCTGGAGGGGTGTGCTTGGCAGCTTTGGATCCTGTCTCCTGTTCTGGACTCAGCCTCTCTCCTCCAGGCCCCTGCTGCACAGGGTGTCTATGGCACCCATTGATCAACAAGCCATGTCAAATACTTAGAACTGTGCCCAGCACATACTGAGCAGTTGGTAAATTTTTGAGACAAATGACATGGTGGTTCAGAATAGGGACACTGGGGCCCAGCTGCAAATGTTGCATCCTGGCTCTGCCACTTAGCTGTGTGACATCTGCATCTCAGCTGTAAAATGGGGACGATAGCGTCTACCTTACAGGCTGTTGTGAAGCCCCTGGAGTGGCCAGTACTGTTCTGGAAATTGCTGTGTGCCTGGTACATACGAAGTGCACTATATGCTGTCGTTTCACCTTCCTTTTGAAACCAGCTTTGAGAATTTCGGCATAGTCACATTTATAGGCCCCATTTTTCCCAGACATCATGGTCAACCCTCAGAATTCCAGAGTTTATTTCTTCCAACAGAACTTCAGGCACAAAATGAGCATTTACTCCTTGTTATCAGATACTAACCGCCAAGAGACTAACTTTGTTTTGAAGCAGATGAGGCTTTTCTATAAGATGCAGAGCCCCGGGAGGTCCCCAGAGACAAAAGGTAAAATGGGCCGGAGGACTGACTGTTGGTCCAAGAGAGAAGCCCCTTTGCTTACGATCCCGCCTGCAACTCCACCCCTGTCTGGAGATTTTTTGAAAATGAATCTGAGTGGAACGTGGAGCACGTTTAAACATTGCACTCTGGGACTCTTAATTTTTGACTCAGTTGCCAAAGCTAGTGACAGAGTTGTAGAGGAATATAATTTTTTTCATAGAAGAATATAATTCTTTTCAGTGTAACATCTATTCTTGGAATGGGAAATTTTCATGTCAAAAAGCCAGAAGCAAACTGTTCTGGGTGCTGGGGCCTCTCCCTCTGACCTGATGCCTCCTCCCCTTACCCTGTGTGCCGAAAGCCCATTTCCGGTCACTATCTGCATATGGTCACTGAGAAGAATAAAATGCTGAGACCGGATTCTCGGATCAGTGTCTCAGCTCTGCCGAGCGGCTCCTAATCATCACGCGGCTGCCCTTGGAGGGCCTGTGATCTGATGGAAATGGGAAGCGTAGTTCCCCTTGGAGCAAAGCAGGGAGAGCATCAGTTGTTTCCACGAAACTCTGATCTTTACTCTCTGCTTTAAAAAAGAAAAGAGACTTCGAAAGATCAGTCACAATCGTGGCAAGAGAATTTCTGAAACATCTGCTAATAGTTTCGTTAAAAAAAAAAAGGAAAGGTAAGAGCTGTCACCTTGTTTTATCGATATGGACTGAGGCTGGAGTAGTGGATGTGCTCCTTCCCTTGACATTTTTGATCTCAGAAATGGAATTTTTAGCTTGTTACACGTATAAGAATTCTTTGACTTTTATACTTAGGAAATTTTCAGCCTGGAACGTAAGGCTACATTTGATGAGCTTTGGCTCAGTTGTGGGTAATAACTCACACAGTGGTTGAAAAGCACTTTGCAAAATAGAAAATGCTTCTGAACATGTGCTAAATAACCGTCCTCATTCAGGAGTGGCTCTTGAAACCCACAAACCCTGGGTGAGAAACCGCCCTTTCCTTCCCCTGTCCAGAAAACTCAGTGGAGAAGTTGTCTTTTTTCCCATCTGGGCTCCAAATGGAGTAGGAACCAAAGGTCTCCTTTGGTCACACCTGCCAGTCACCACACCTGCCCGCGCGCCCTGCACCACCTCTGGTGCCACCCCTTTCTGGTCCATGATGGTCTCGTGCTCCTAAAGCGGGAGCTGCTGTTAGAGCTCCTGTTCTTTGCCCAGCTCCCCTTCCACCGCGTCCCGCCCCAGAGCAGGCCCCGGTCCCCGCCGTGCCCCACTGCCTCCTTCCCGGGTGTTCTGAGACCCGCACCCTCCTCTAGCCTGGGCTCCCTGAGCTCTGGGCCCCCTCGTGTGCTCGCCCTCCAGCACTAGCTTCTTCTGCCCCTGTGATTAATGTCCTCAGGTTCTATGTTTGACTTTCACCTGAAAGAAACCTGTTCTGAGGAGTTAAGGCTTTGTTCAGAGAAAGACTGAGGTGACCTCTTTGGGTGGCCTCAGAACACCCACATATTATCCCTACTAAAAGAGCCAAAGGTCCCAGAAGCCTGTTGTGGATTTCCATTTAGGCTCTCAAATAACTTTTTGATTATTTCATTTACTCATTTGTTTCCAAGTGGATAATTCATTCTCATGCCTCAAAATGGTAAAAGGTTCAGAAAAGTGTCGGAAAAGCCTTCTTCCCTCTCCTTCCTGGAGGCCGCTAATGGTGTCACTTTCTTGTATAAGCTTCTACATTTTTATCTTACAATTTGTCAACTTTTAAATATTTTTTGGAACAGAAATATAAATAGTGCCATTAAGATAACTGACCAAAAGAACCACAGAGAGACCGAATGGATTCTACTTGTCCCTCTTCCCTGGTCCCTGTCCTTATCCAGACAGAGTTTTTATGTGGTTGTAACCACAGTCCCGTGACTTTCAAACGTCTTGTTCACTGGGGGTGTTTGTGTGGGGGTTCCAGAGCCCAGGGGCAACAGGGAGAGAGCTGGTCGGCAGAGTTGGAGAGAGGGTTGGGGACTAACCCCAAGTGCGCACCCATTCCTTGTGCCCATCCTGCCTCTTGTAGAAATACCTGCTCCCCCTCATCATGGGTGGCCGAGAGGACAGGAAGCAACTGGAGAGGATGGAGGCGAGTCTCTCGGAGTTGAGCGGCAGCGTGGCACAGACAGGTAAAGATTAATGACTCCATCAAGTCACCCCTCAAAGCCTCTCCGAGCAGCCCCCTCTCTGCCCCCTCCCCTCCCCCCTCTGTCTCCACTTTATGTGGTGACTTCATTTATCTGCTCTGAGAATCTGTTCACATTTGCAAATGAAGCCGCCGTCATTTCGGTTTAATTTGAAATTGCTTGTTTACTGTCGGCGCGGCCTCAATTAATTATGTTTTTACGGAAAGGCTCCCAACCTCAGAATATTAATAAGGGGAATAAAATGACAGCCTTTCTAAGGGCTGTAAAGTTCATTTTTAATTTCTGCTTCTATGAGGTTTTCAGGGGGGTTTTCAATGATTTTCCCCCTTCCCTCTAAGAATCCAACACAGGGTCAAGAGAGGCTGTAATTACTGCGGCTCCAGGGACCCTGGCCACCTCCTCTGTCATCGACTCCACAGGGCTGGCGTTCATTACCCAGTGCCCCAATGATGGCCCAGATTAGCTGGGACCTGTCGCACCAGAGGTGGCTTTTCTCCTTTATAAACTTGTTTACCAGGTGGAAGCTCGGAATTCTAAAAAACTCAGGCAAGTGAGAGAGCCGCTGCCCCAGGCAGGAGCCTGGCCCTCAGGGGCGCATTTGCAAAGCCCTCAGAAACCCTCCTGAGGAGGCCACCAGTGGGACTCCAAGGCCGGGACAGAGTCATGTGACACGGCAGCCTCTGAGTGGGGTGGGGAGGGCAGAGAGGGGCAGCAGGGAAACAGAAGTAGCCGTTTTTAACCACTCCTGGATGTCGTGAACCTGAGTCACGTGCGTCTCTCCCAGGATTGGAGTCTCTGTGTTTCCACAAGGGTACAGTGAGGCCTGTGAGATGAGGGATGCAGGCATTACCGAAGTTGGAAGAGCAAGGCAAATCATAAGCAGATATAATTAGAGGGGAGAGGTTTTGGACGGATATACTGTTGACCACGGACAACTACACAATAGAAAGATAAAGTAGAAATACTAGAGGTTAGATACAGTGCAGGTAGATTACCCAGAGTGCAGATAAATTATGTGGATTGCTGGGGGTGGGGGATGTGTACAGATAAATTAGATGCAGCAGCTTCTAGGTGTGCGGACAGCGAAGGAGGGATCTGTGTGTATCGTCTAACAGAGATGCTCTCACCTCCAGTGACCCAGTTACAGATGACATTAGCCTCTGTCCAGGAGCTGCTGATTCAGCAGCAGCAGAAAGTCCAGGAGCTCGCCCACGAACTGGCCACAGCCAAGGTACTCGTCCCTGACCCTCTGGTTTCTCAGGTCCAGGTCCGTCGTGCATGCTCTTTGCTCTTGTCCTTCGTGCCCAGTTCACTGCGTCCCAGGACGTCACTGCCTTCCATCTGTCTGGCTTTGTCTTTTCTCACGCTGTTTACACCACAGGGGTCCGGGCTACCCTTGTAGAGAAAGGAGGCGGTCCCTGCGAGGGTGGTGTGGTGTTTGGTGATGGAGGCCGTCTTTTCTGTGGTGGTCACGTCCCATCAGGAGGGAGGAAGAGCAGCTGTCTGCCTGCGGCGCTCCTGTGGCAGCATACACCCGGCCCTGGAGGCAACTGGCGTAGACACAGGATGGCCTTCGCCTGCAAGCTAGGCCACGGGTCCTGGCATCGCCAAGAGCCATGCAGAGGCTGGGGTCAGGCAGAGGTGTGCCAGGGCACTGCGCCAGCCTGCTGCAATGGGCAGGTTCTCTAAACCAAGGGCCTGGGGTGTCAGTAACCCCTAAAGGAGGATAGTGCCAGCTTGGCATTGACCGGGGCTGTTTCTAAGCCTCACTTCCCTAATCTGAAGTAGTCTTGGCACTACTAGATCCTAGGGTCAGACTGCCTGGGGCAAAATTCTCCTCTGCCACATGCTAGCTCTGTGACCACAGGCAAGTTACTCAACCCCTCTGAGTCTTTGTTTCCTCATCTGTAAGATGAAGCTATAGCGGTACCTCCTACATTGTACATGCTTAGAACAGTGTGAGCTCCCATCAGCCCCCAGGATTGCAGGCTTCTGGCCTGGGTCTTTGGGTGTGGGACACGCTCATTCCGGAGGCTCCAATTTGGGCAGACTGGGTCCTGGAGACAGAGGCCCGCTGGCTCTGGGACCCCGCCGCTCTCCGCGTTCCATCGGCCTCTCCTGCTCCGCTTTGCTGCCTCCCTGCAGCCTGCCGCCAAGCTGTGGAGGACCTACTCTGAGGGCTCCCCCAGGGCAAGACCCACCCGGTACACAGCTACATGTGAACCCAGCCCAAGCCCAGTGAGTCTTTCCATTTCTGATGGAGTCGGGTTGCCTGTTGTGCAAGAGTCCCTAAAAACCCCCATGCGGAGCTGCTGTCCACCCTTCCCTGGGCTGGGTGTAGTTGCCTGTGGCCACCTCCAGCCACGGCGGGCGGTGCATAAAGCAGCCGTCCATCCATTCTCCTCTATTATCTTTTTGGAGCTGTGGCCTGCCAGTGGCCAGAAGCCATTCCGGAAATTAGAAAACTGTTTTCAGACCTTAAGCATTAAGATTAAGACCACATGTTGCATTTTAAGAGGGGAGGGGACCCGGGATCGTGCCTGGCAGTTGAGCTGCCTCACAGTTTTCCTCGCATCTGTTTTTCTGATGGTCACCCACCCGCCCCCTGCCCACTTTCATTCTCTCCTGAAGTGGGGCTCACTCATATGTGTGAAGACTTTGGTTACCCCATAAACCAAAGACTCAGAGCTGTGTTTTCTCAGCTGTAATGTAAGTTTTTATATCTGGCTTCCAAACCCCTACTACAGCACTGTAAAAAATTAAAAAGAAGAGCGTTAAGTAATTAAAAAACCTACATAAAACTGAAGGCTGGGAGTTTTCTACAACTGTTTTTTAAAGAGACTGGCTAAAAAGCCCCAGATGTCAGATTTTATTTCTAAATCCTGGCATCTGGCACCATATGCGTTTGGAAATTTGAGTCCTTTGTAGGCCGGTGAGTGGAAATTGCTCCCTTGTTAATGGGCTGCTATAGCTTTCAAGGTCTCAGAGAAGCCAGAACAGCGGCTCCTGGATCTGCGCTGTCTGGTGGTCTGGAATGGGAACCCGGGGGGATGTGTGTGAGTGCCCACTCCAAGACCGCCCCGCTTTTCCTTTGCAAGCGTCCACTTGAGGGGCTTCTCCCTGCAAAGGTGTGCCTGGCTGGGCTGCTTGCCCATGCAGTGCTCTGAGCATCACCCACCATGTCAGAGTCCTGCAGCAGGCTGGCAGGAATGTCCAGGACCCCTACCCTCTCCCCGCCTGGGGCTCCCCGCATTCTCTTGATCTTATGGCTTGGGTTGCCTGTGTCAGGCAGGGGTGTTTGGGAAGCAGGGGCCTTCCACTGTTAATCTGTGCACTTGAAGCGAGTTTGAGGTGGCCTGCAGCCTGGGCGATGAGGGTTTGCACGCCTGAGGCCTCCACCCACAGAATGAGCCCATGAATACTTCACAGGCCGCTTGGCCACCAGCAACTACCATTGGAGGGGCCACCATTTCGGCTTTCCTCTTCTCCATTGGTCCCAGAAAGACTTGCCAGAGAACAGTGTGGTTCTCTGAAGCTTGTTGGGGAAGCTGTCAGATTCAAAGGGGGCAGGTGTGCATGGAGAGGTGGCATTTGCCCTTGGTCACTGTGGCTCTTCCTCTGGGACCCTCCTCAGGAAGATATTGAAGCCAAGTCCTAGGACGGCTTCTCTGCACTCTGCTGAGCCTTCAGAGTCATCCCCGGAAAGAATGGCTGTGGGTATCATTTTTTGTCATTTTATTTTTCATAAGCAAAATACCACTATTGCACCTAAACATGTCGGGATTCCTTAATATCATCAGATACTCAGAGTTGTAGCATTGTTTGTTTTTAGGGTGTCATCATTTAAACAGAGAGACACGGGCAGGCAGACCCCTGAATGGGCAGTGGTAGAATCTCCCCAGGCGTGTCCGGGCTGGCACACAGGACACGGAATGCTCCTGGGTCCCCCAGAAGCAGCTGCCCCATGGAGCAGAGGGGAGCCCCAGTCTGATCCTTGTTTCCTTGTGTTCTGACTTTCAGGCCACTACGTCTACCAACTGGATCCTGGAGTCCCAGAATATCAATGAACTCAAGTCGGAAATTAACTCCTTGAAAGGGCTCCTTTTAAATCGGTAGGCAGAGAGAAGGCGTGGGCTTCTGTTCTGCCCCCAGCCTGGGACCGGAGGGGCCTCTGCAGTCACTGTGGAGGGGCCGTGCCCCCCTGAGTGGCCCTGTCCCGCTGGCCCCTCATTGAGGTGGCAATTCAGGCATTGCATCTGGGAATATTTTGAGCTGTTGCTTTCCCTCCCCTATAGCCACCCTCCATCCCCTACCTCTGCCCCCCACTCCAAGGTGACAGTCTGCATGTAGCGCCCATAAGAGTTTGGAAATAAAAACAGTTCGTTGGCCCTGTCAGAGGCCTGACCAAGGACAGCTGGAGCCAACAGGCAGAGCCCTGAGCAGAGGAGAACCTGCCTCTCCTGGCCTGGGGGTTCCAGATAGGGCCACCTCCTCTGTCCTGAGCCCTGGCTGGACCCCTCAGTGACAGCTTGGTCCCAGAGAAAGTGCTCACACAGGGTCAGAGGCCTTAGTTTGTGGGCTTCTATGATGCAAGGCAGGGTCAGAAGCCAGTGTCACCAGTCGGGTACTGAATGGAAGGTGGCTGGCTTGTCCTGGCTTGCTGGGGACCATCCTAGTTTGAACTGAAATCTGTGTGTTCCGGGAGCCTCCCACTCATGGGACACTAGGACAGTCGGTCCCAGCTTGGTGTGGCCCAAGGTCTAGTGAAAGGGCTTTGTGAGGTGGTTCAAAGGCTCAAGGTGGCCCTTCCCTCTGAGTCAGGGATGGGGGTCTTGAGGGGTCTTATCACCCCAGCTGAAGGACCCAGGTTCCCGAGCCACCTACTTCCAGGCCCTTTCTGAAGAAAAGAATGTAGCCTTAGAGAGAGGTGACTGCACTCAGAGGTGGCCAGGGGTTATTAGGAGAAATCCTTTGTGTTTCCGGGCCTAGGAGATGAGCACCTTTGAGGTCGGGGGACAGAGGGGTGACATTGGAGCCAAGAAGAACGGCAGATCGAATTTCTCCCATGCCTACTCCACACAGTGGGATGTGGCGGGGGAGCTGCCCTGGGGTGGGTGCTGGAGGCAGGGGAGCCCGGGAGGGAGCAGGCCTTGTCCTCTCGGCTCAGTGGGGATCAAGCCTGCCTGGCCTAGAGCTGCACTTCCAAGCCTTGCCAAGGGGGCCTGACCTCCCGGGTCCCTCCTGGAATCAGCCTTGGTTTGGGCTGGCTGCTGGCCCTGGCCGGGGGCCAGGGAGGTGGGGGCTGGGGGTGGGGGTGGGGGGCAGGAGCAGGAGCAGAGAACTGACTCTGTGCTGTCAAGTGTGGGACCTGGAGGTTTTCTAGCAAAGTGCACTCATGTCACCCTTCTGGTGGTGGTGTCTCTTACCCCCGAGGCCAGTGGCCAGGCTGCGGACAAGTCAGGTGTCCTAGGCCCCCTGCCGCTCCCCATCTTGTCCTGCTCCTTCTCCAGGACTGGAGGCTGGGACAGTGCGGAGAGCTGGGAGGGGCCTCAGGCTGGCTGTCCAGCCCTTGACAAGGAGGGCGGGCCTGGCCCTGGGCGGGTGGGTGCTCCGTGGGCAGCCTGGGCACCTGTGGTCCTGTCCCAGCCGCCCCACCTCCCGCCAGCCCAAGGGCCTTGCTTCTGAGGGGCGGGCGTGGGAGGGGACAGCGGGGCTCCTCCTGTCTCCCGCCTGGTGGCCCTGTCGCCCACCCCGCCACCTCCTCCCCTCCCAGGCGGCAGTTCCCGCCGTCCCCGTCAGCCCCGAAGATTCCCGCCTGGCAGATCCCAGTGAAGTCTCCGTCGCCCTCCAGCCCCGCGGCCGTGAACCACCACAGCAGCAGCGACATCTCGCCTGTGAGCAACGAGTCGGCGTCGCCCTCCCCCGTGAAGGAGGGCCACAGCCCCGAGGGCCCCGCGGCTGCCTACCACCTGCTGGGGCCCCCGGAGGAGGGGGCGGGGGCGGTGGATGTTAAAGGGCAGGTGAGGATGGAGGTGCAGGGAGAGGAGGAGCAGAGGGGGGATGAGGAGGACGAGGAGGACGAGGACGCGAGCCACGGGGGCGGGGAGGACCGCCTGGGTGCGCAGAGGGGGGGCCGGCGCGGCGGGGACGGGCAGATCACCGAGCAGGTGGAGAAGCTGCGGCGGCCCGAGGGCGCCAGCAACGAGAGCGACAGGGGCTAGGCCCAGGGCGGGTGTCCCCGCGGGGTGCTGGCCAGCGCCCCCTGGGCCCAGGACAGGGGCCCCGAGCTGGCTGGGGGCAAAGCTGGCGCAGCCTGGCTGGGGCCCAGGCCCTGCCCATAGGTTGTATTTCTGTCCACCTGGCCATCTGTCCTGAATGCCAGCCCCAGCCACCACTTCCTCCGCTCAGCCCCAGACAGACAGGCCTTTGACCTGGTTCTCATGTGGGGCCGACGGTGCAGATTCTGTCGGCTCAAGGCTCCCTTGACCCCGACTCCTAGCCAGACTGCGTGTCCAGGGTGCGTGCTGAGCATCTGAGCTGACCAGACACCGGGCATGACAAGGGGAAGCCTGATCACCCGGCTCCTGAGCCTCCGTGGGGCAGGGGCCTCCCTGACCCGGTGGCCACCATCCCTCCGCTCCTTCGTGGCTCCTCTTGCCAGGAGCCAACGGGGCTGCCTTGCCATGGTCCCAGAAGCCACAGCCCTGCCCTCCTCCCTCTCACCAGGGCCCCCCAGGGTCCCCCAGCCAGGCCCTGCCCGTGCACCTGTCCCAGCCCCACTGTCTTCCCTAACAAATGAACTCACACTGCGTTTCTGGCCATCTTCGCTCGCTGCCTTGTGACTCAGCTGTGCCCCTGGTGAGACGAGGTTCTCGCTCCGTGGAGCATCAGGCGTCAGGGCCTTCCCGTCTGTCCTTCCCGCCCGGAAACACATGTTCATTTGTGTGATCAGGTATAGGTTTCAGAATATAAGATACGACTGTATATAATTGTAATAAATACGAGTTGTCACTATTTAATCCCTGCCTGTGGCTCCCTGTCTGCTCATGGCACGCTGTGCCTGGGAGGTGGATCTCGGCTAAGTCTGTGGCAGGTGAGCCCTAGGGAGGACCCGGAGGGGCTGCGGGGGGCCAGGGCAGCCTGCACCTGGGTGGCAGCTCCTGCCTCCTCCATCCAGTCCCTGCCCCTGGGCAGGTTCGAGGGCTGCCCCCTGGGAGCCGGCGGGTTCGTCCCGGGACCCGAGCACGGAGGGCGACATGCCGATCCGGGAGAAGGGACCTCCTGTTACTGTATATAGACCTGGTGTTGAGCTTGATGAGCTCTCCTTCCTTAAATGGATGAATGTGCTCCCAGGAGAGTGTCTCCTCTCTTCCTCTCCCATCTCCCTCTTGCCCTCCCTGTCTCCTTTTAACCTTCACACAACACTCAGCTAAACCCAGAAAAATAGTGCACAACGCTCCCTCCAAGGCGCACTGTGTGTGGCCACAGCCCCTAGTGCTGTGGCTGCGCACAGGGACAGAGGGCGTGGTCACGGCCGGGTGCTTGCGTGGACACAGAGGCTTTGGGAATGAAGTGCAGGGACCTCAGGGCGAGGAGGTAGAGCTCTGCACCCGTTAGGTGTTAGGTGGGTGTCCTGGGTGCACTCCACTGGCCACTGACCACAGCACACCGCCGCCTCCTGCCTGGCCTGGCAGCCGGGGAGGGAGAAGCTCTGGGGTGAGACTTGGCATTGGGGCTGTTTTGTCTCCAAAAACACTTCCCCTTCTCCCGGGTTCCCCTGTAAGGGCTCCGGGACGGATTCCTGACTCGCAGGGCCGTCCAGGTGTGCTTGGGCCTCTCCTGACCCTCGAGCAATGGCCCTTGACCTCCCTTTGTCAGGTTTTGTCTTTGATGCCCGTGATCCCATGTGACATTCCTGTGGTCCATTTCCCCACCACGCGTTCCCGAGGACGAGGAGAGCCCACATTGAGACTCACCTCGGTCTCCTTTTGTCCCGGGGACACCAGGGTTCTCCGTCCCCAGAGGCACCCAGCCTGGCCTGGACGAGGACTCCCAGTGTTGGGGAACCAGGTGGGCCCTGGAAGTGTGAGCAGAGGGCTGAGGGTCTGCAGCACCCTCAGCCTCCATGGATGGGGCTGGAGACGTGGGGTTCCCGCCCTCCAACCTGCTGTGCCCCATCCTGCTCAACAGAGGGCCTGGGTCCTGGGTGGGCAGCTACGGGGTCTCCCCCTTTAGCTTGGTGACCATTTGTTGTCATCTCTAACTTTCCAGAGGGTCCTCCTGCGAAGGCACCAGCGGGCAGCTAGCCTGGGGCAGATACAGCCAGAGCTGTCGGGTGGGTGCAGCTGGCAGCGGCCCCGTGGGAGGACTCCCTGGGGCTTCTCCGCCTCTGGGCGGGGGTCACTAGGCTTTCAGGTCCCTGGGGCTCCTGAGCAGGGAGAAGGGGGTGGAACCGGGGCCAGGAAGCCCTCTGCCCTGTGGGTCCTGAGCTCTGAGTTAGGCTTTTGTGGACAGAGAGTCTGGCTCAATTTCAGGGAGGAAAAAAACCCCTCCCCAAAACGGCGTGAGTGCTGCCTAATAAAGGCAGCTGCTGGACGGAGGGAAAACAGCCCTTTGAAAAAAAAGCCTTTCATTAGAAAAATAATGCACTTCATCCAAATAAGGTAAAAATATTTGGAATGGGGCAGAAGTGAGCAGCAGGCAGCGCCTGTCAGCCTGTTTCTGGAAGGGAGAAGATTATTAAACTCAATTACAATGTATTTTTGTAAAGTGTCTTTTAGGAAAGAACTCACTCCAGTGTTGGGAGGCTGTGGATGGCCCTTTGCCCTGGGTCTCCCAGGCTGCCCCCTGCCCTCCCATCTCCCCACCTGCCTCACTGACCGCGCAGCCTTGGCCGGCCAGCCCCAGCCCTCCTGGGGTAAACGATGCCCAGCAGCACCTGGGGAGGCTGCACGGAAGGTTCCCAGGGCTGCAGGGACCCTGCCTGTCTGCTCCCCGCCCTGCAGTCTGCCTGGTCCTGCGTCTGTCAGCAGCGTAGCCCATCAGTGGGTGCCCGCCCGCTGGGGGTGAGGAGGGCCTTCTGGGTGAGCGAGCTGGCTACTGAGTCTGGGCAGGTTTGTTTTTTCACATGGTGGAAGTACGTCTCCGATGATTAAAAAATCCGATCAATAGGGAAAGGAACAGAGAACGAAGTGCCCTCGGCCTCTCCATTCGGTCTCCCAGGTGCTCCCACGCAGTCTGCTCTCCGTCTCCTCCTCTGCTTTCAAAAAAACGGAAGCTTTTCTCCACTTTCGGTGAGACTGAAAGTGAACAGTGTGCCCTGGGGGCTCCTGCGGTGGGAGTGGAGGGTCTCCACATGGCTCTCCTGCCCTCCCCCGTGCCCAGCCAGGGCACAGGCGCGGGTCCTCAGCCCTGGGCCCAGAGCCTCACTCTCCCCTGGCGGCCGTCTGGCCCCAACCCTGGCCTTGTCCTTGCCCCAGAACCCAGGAGGAGGAAAGGCAGGCAGCAGACAGTTTTCTGATGGGCATGTCAACCTGATCCTTAGGAGTTTATTTACTCCTTAGTGTTTGTTCATCTGTTTATTTAAAGTTCTTCCTGCCAAGGCCCAGAGAAGAGGATCCCAGGCTTCAGCAGCAGGCCCGAAGGCGCCAGTGATCCCCTGTAGGTGGGGTGGCCCCAGCCTCAGACGGAGTTCTCAGACCCCAGGCCAGGCTGACCCTTGCCTGCCCTGGCTGCTTCTCTGGCCCCTGCTCCTTTGCCCTGCACAGGTGTTTCCCTGCAGCGGCTAGGCAGCTGCCTCCGGGGCGCGATGCTGATGTATGCCCACCACCTCTTGGTGAGAGCTGGCATAGGCCCACACACAGGGCCCCGGGCTCGCTGGCTCCTTGACTCCCGCTCCCATCGCACACCAGTGCGCCCCCCTCCGGCTCTCTGGACGGTCTGAAATCTCCAGCACTGTTGGTTACCTTTCACCTAAACCATGAGCAAACCTTAGCAGTTTACTTTCATTGAGTACTTTAAAGTCATGCTCTTCTGGACGCAGAGATGAGGTTTTACTCTTAATTTCATTAGAATGCCTGAAGCCTTTCCTTTCTCCCTGACAAGTCCTGGAAGGATCTTCTTTACAGTGACAGGGCCATGTTTTTAAATACACCTTGGAAACCTAAGTGCCCTGGGAGAATTGCCTCCAGGGTGTCGGCAGTGCCAAGATGCCCTACACAGCCAGGAGCCTCTGGGCCGTGCCGGGGGGCTGCTAAGTCAGGGCAGGGCCTCCGGGGTTCCTTGCTGGGGAAAAAGCCTTGGACTTTACGAGGCTACGGTGTCTCTCCCGAGGGGCATGGGGTAGGGGGCTCACAGGAGCAGAGGCAAACGGGTCGGTCTGCTCCAGCCGCCATCTGCCTCCAGCTCTGGCTGTGGGCCTCCTGGGAGCAGCCTCCTCCCTGGCCTGTGCCGGACGGTGGGTCAGCTTCTCCCAGTGAGGGTGGCTCAGGCCTGGTCCCACAAGGTCCCCAGAACTCCGGCCCATCTTGGGGGTCCTACTCCCTGCCCTGCTTCCTCGAGGCCTGACGGGGCAGCACCATTTCACCCACCATGGACCCTGTGGCCCGGCCCTGGGCCAATAATACCTGTGGGCCAGGGCCACTTATGAAGCGGGGTGGACAAGCCACCCTTGCCCAGGTTGACTGGGCATGCAGGCCCTGTGGCCCAGGGGAGGGAGCTGCCTCGTCACTGTGGGTCCCGGTGGGCTGAGGCAAGGCTGCTTGTGAATGCCATGACCGGCTCCCGCGGATGACTCAGCTGCCGGCAGCGCTCAAGCCGGGCCAGGTCTGGGGGAGGTGGGCCGGCCACAGAGCTGAGCTCGGCGTGAGCCTGTGCAGCTGGTTCTGGCTCTTTCCAAGAGGTTACAAAACTCTTGAATTTGCCCCAGTTTGGTTGTAGGAGCATCACACCACCACAGCTCATTAAATCCCAGAATGAAAACATGTTTTACTGCATTTCCTACTGAGTCCAACATGCCACAGGGTATAGTGAGACCTGGGCCCCTCCGCACCCCTGGGGTGGGGCATCACTGCAGCTGCAGGCCCCTCCCTCTTGACGGTGGGGGATGTGATCTCGGGGACACTCGCCCCTGGTGGGCGTGGTGGTCACTTCTCTCTGCCCATGTTTGGGGCAGTGCCCAGGACTCGGGTCAGAGGGCTGGTGGCGTGCAGCAACCTGATGGTTCACAGGCCCTTGTGCCCCGAGGCCCTTCTGAGGGGCACCCTGGGCCCTGATGCCCCCTTTCCTGGGCCAGGTGTAGGGCCCTCATGATCTCTCACCCTGGGCCCTGGCACCTACCTTGTCCATAGTCTAGCTTGTAGGCTGGCCCTGCCTTTGGCTAGACTGGGCCTCCCATCCACATGGGCCTGCTGACACCTGTCCAGGCCCAGAAGACCTGGGGCAGCGGGGGAGGTGGCAGGTTTGGAGCATCCGCTCTGACTGCCCATCTTACCTCTCCTGGGCCCCAGGAGTCCCCGAGAGCTGGTCCCTGCCCCCATCACCTCCCACCGCCGCAGTGCCCAGAGGGAGCCCTGTGGTCACACTACTCACCCACCTCACCGAAGTCTGGGCTTGGCTCTCCGCCTGCCTTTGGACCCCATGGGAGGACTGCTTAGCCCACCAGGGCCTGTGAAGCTCCAATAATGGTTTTAATTTGTTGAACTTGTGTTTTTATCCCATAAATTAGTCACTGTTTTATTTAACAGAATCAAGATATCCACAAACAATAGGCGAGTTCCAACTTGAACATTTTAATAAGACAGAAAAAAGTATATATTTTCGCATCTGTTACAAACATATTTATGTAAATAGCCTGTGGGCTGCTTTCCAGAAGGAAAGAAAGGGAAGGGCCTCAGTACTGAGACTGGGTTGGAAATGAAGCGTTAGTGGTGGAAATGACGGTGAGCAGGGCTGGGAGGGCGCAGACCCCCAAGCTCGGAGGGAGAGGAGCTTCGGCACCAGGACTTTCCCTTCTGGCCCCTGGTTCCCTCCAGAGGGTGCATGTGCTCGTCGCGAGGGTGTGACACCGAGTGAGCTGCTCAATGTGGAGAATGCTGTGGACCCCACACATGTGCCCCCCGCCCCCCGGCTCTGGGATGTCCCAGCCACCTGGAGGGGGGTCAGCTCAGGGCAAGGCTGGCAAGATGGTGCAGATGATGCAGTGTTACTGGGAAGCAGGTCACCATTTAGAAGTGTCAGGGCCGACGAGTCATGAGGCCTGCACGCTGGGTGAGGCCTGGTGGGAATGCTCCCACCATCCATGCTTTGGAGGGAGCCCCCAGCCATGGTGCCATAAGGGCTGGCAGCTCAGACCTGGGGCTGGTGGCTGTGGACCCGGGAACCAGCCCCCTCCGGCTCTGCCCCCATGTGCTCCAGGCAGGAGCTGAGCCAGCATCCGGATTGGATCCGGGTACGCGCCGTTCCCAGCCCAGGCAGGTCCCTGCAGGAAGGAGGAAGGAGCTGAGAGAGCAAGCAGAGGGGCGACCCTGCCAAGCTCCTGCCCAGTAGCCCTGGCTCTGAGAGGAGGGGCCTGGCCAGGCTGGGCGGCCTGGAGAGCGCATGGAGCCTCTCCCTGAGGGCGGGAGTGTCCACGCCAGTCCTGAGCCTCATTCGGGGCTTCAGGCAGGACTGAGGGGGACCATCCTTCTGTCCTCAGCAACCTGGGAGAACTTGGCCCTGCCCCAGGGGTGAAACTGGTCTGGTCTGCCCCTTCCCTGCCAGGGTTGCAGGGTGACGGACTCCCTCCTCCCCTCCCTGACCTGGCACACGGAGCGCACAGCCTTGGTTGTGTCGGCCTGCCCAGTTGGGTCACTGCCAGCCGCTTGGGGCTGATTTTAAAAATAAAAGATAACTTGATAGATTTTTTTCCAGTTTTTATTGAGTGAAAATGTCAAACCTTGCATCAGTCATGCAAAAAAAAAAAATCAAATAAATAAAACACATATATTAAATTTCTAATAGCACTAAATTCAAGTGGAAAAATATTCAGTTCTTAATAACCAGGTGCCGAGGAGACCAGATTCAAGTAATCAGAGCACACGCTGTTCAATTCGGTTTTCACGTTCTGCATTTTTCGTCTCAAAACCTCTCTATATATCTCTATATATCTATATATGTATATACATATAGATATATACACACACATATGTGCATACATATTATTTTATATTTATATATATACACATACATAGTTATAAAACATTAAAAAGAGCATTGGTGGATCAAGCATTTTTTCCCCACAGAAAGAAAATAAAACAAAAATTACACATTAAATTCAAAATGAGCTAGCAATGGCTTATAGTCCTAGTGTGCAATATGAAGGTTACAAAAGGCTAGACTTCGCACTGTCTGCATCTTCTTTTCTTTTTTGAGTTTGCTACATTGAAAAATGTTTGTTTTCCTTTACAAAACTCCTTCCACAGACCCACGGGTTCTGCGGCAGGGCACAAAGTCTGGGCGAACGCTCAGCAGCAGCACGTGGTGCCCACAGACTGCAGGAGGCTCTGGCAGGGGCCGTTTAGAGAAGGTCTGTTTCCTGCTGAATCAGGTACGCGCTGTCTGGCCCCGCCCCCCTCCCTGCTCCCTCTCCAGTTCAGGTGGTCCTGGCTTTCTGGCTGTGGGCGGCCAAGAGGACAAAAATAAAAAGTAAAAAAGAAGAAGAAAGGAAGACACCACTGGTCAGGCTCCCCTGGAGACCTGGGTGGGGGCAGCTCAGGGTGACAGCACCCCCCACCCCCACCCCGCAGGCTGGGCCCTGCCCTCTTCCTTGCATCTCAGGGTCCAACTTGAGATGGGCTGGTGGCCGGGACTGGCGCGCGAGAGAGAACAGGGGAGGCATTGGGCAGCCGACCCCCTGTCCGGGTCACCCCCAGAGCCACTGGCTGGGTGTGAGCCTCCCAGCTAGGGCCCTGCCCTGGACTCAGTGACCTCATCGTCTCCAGGAAGGGGGGATGTTTTGAAAAGGGCACCAAATCTGGGTGGGTTGTACCAGCAAAGAAGCATCCCGAACAAACTAATAAAAACAAACTGGAAAAAAAAAAAAAAGGCCCTATAAAGCCACACACATAACCAAAAGAGAGAAACTCAAATGTTAAATTAACTACAGACTTGTCTCAACAGTAATAGTCCTTTTTTCTTGTCTCTACAAAATTCAAGTTAAAAGTTGGAATCACGCAGCTCCCATCAGTGCTAGTGTAAAGACAGAAAGCCTCACACTGGTAAGGCCTCTAAAATGCTAAATAAAATCCCACGTGAGCAATTGCACTGGGTCTCCAACCTCAGGGCTGGTCCGGACGCGGGTCTATGCTGTCACTGCCCGCCTGCTTTTTTTTTTTTCCTTTTTGTTCTATGTAGAATAATAACCTTTACAGGAAAAATACTGTACAACTTTCTTGCATTTTTTCCATTTTGAATATTAAAGCCCCAAACAATCGCATCCTTCCTGCTCCCACCACCCGGGTGTCTGAGACCCCTGAGGCTGCCCTTCCGTCTGTGGATGAACGCCGTCTGGGATGTGGGGACAGTGGCTGGGGCCTGGGAGCCCCCTTCAGGCCACCACGCCCCCTTCCTGGGCCCCAGCCTTCCAGCTGGGGCAGAGCGACCCGGGGCTCCCCGCTCTGCTAAGCCCATGAGGTTTCCTCCTCGGTCCCTGTAGTGTCACCGGTGCTGTCGCTTTCTGACCCGCCCTCCCCCAGGGCAAGGAGGGAGGGTCTTAGCTGCAATGGATGGGAGGCCCTGCCGGAAGCGCAGGCGCCGCCCGCCTCTGGTGGTTCGGGGCGGGGGTCGCAGCGACCCCCAGCGCCCGCCCCAGTCCTGAGCAATGAGGAATCCTCCCGGCGTGGTCGCGGGGCCCGGGTCCGGCAGCGGGGAGGGGCGCCGGGCCCGCCGCCAGGGGGCTGCGCGCGCCTCGCCCTCGGGGACCCCTGCCCCTCGCTCCCCGCCGGGCGAGAGCACCTTCTGTTTCCCTGAAGCAGGTCCCCGAGCGGCAGCGAGACCAGGGTCCCCCGGCGGCCCCGGAGCACCAGAGGGGGGCCCTCGCCCCGGTCCTGAGACGGACTCGGGGTCCGGGAAGCACCGGCGGGGCTGGCGGGGGGGGCCCGGGCCCGGAGCGCCCCCCGGCGCGGGAGCCAAAACGGACGCCTAGCTCTGCACACAGGGAAGCCTCACGTATAAATACCCTTCCTTACAAAATTAATAATAATAACAGTAATATAAAGAGGCGGGGCCCGGGCCGGGCGGTGTCCCCGCGGGGCTAGGGCGAGGCGGCGGCCGGGGGCGCGGGGGCCGCCAGCTGCGGGCTGCGCGCCGCCGCCTCGGGCAGCGACTCCTCCGAGTCGGTGCGCAGGTCCTCGTCGTCGTCGTCGTCGTCGTCGTCGTCGTCCTCGTCGTCGTCGTCGTCGTCGTCCGCCTCCTCCTCGTTCGCCTCCAGCTCCTCGTCCTCGTCCTCCTGCGACGACTCCCCGGCGGCCGGGCCGGGCGCGGGCGCGGCGGGGCCGCCGCGGAGCGCGGGGGCGTCGGGCGGGCCGGGGTCGCCCGCGTCGCGCAGCCCCAGGCCCAGGCCGGCGGCGGCCGCCTGCAGGAACAGCAGGGGGCCGCCCGGCTCGGCGCCCAGCGACAGCGAGCCGTCCAGGCTGACGGCCGGGCCGGGCGCGGGGCCCTCGGTGCCGGGCGGGCTGGCGGGCGGCTCGCCGCGCTCCTGCTTCTCGTGCTTGCGCTTGTGCGAGTCCATCTGCGACATGCCCACGACCGTGTGGCGGCAGCCCGGGTAGGTGCAGTGGAAGTGCGAGCACTTGAGCTTGTACTTGCAGTCGGGCACGGCGCAGTCGGCGCTCGAGCTGAACTGGCAGAAGCCCGCGGCGCTGATCACGTCCTGCTTGCCGTGGTGCTTGCGGTGCGCCGTGACCTTGGTGCTGTCGGTGCAGCGGAAGCGGCAGCGCAGGCAGTGGAAGTGCGTGCTGGTGCCCGAGAAGGGGCAGTCGGCGAAGTGGCAGCTGAGAGAGGCCTTGAAGCGCTTGAAGTCGTCCAGCACGAGGTTGTCTACGCGGTCGTGGTGTTGGGCGTGCTTGTACATGTGCGTGCGCCCACAGAACTTGTACCCGCAGTTCTCGCGCGTGCAGTGGTAGTGGGTGACCTTGAGCGAAAACTGGCATGCCGCGTCCTTGCAGTCCTCGTAGAGGTCGAAGCGGCGGAAGCCCTCCAGCATCATGCCTTCGTCCAGCATCTTGCGCGAGGAGGCCGTCTTGCGCCTCTTGCCAAAAGGCGACATGTCCTCAATGATCCAGAAGCGCTTTTTGGCCCCGGAGGCTGTCGGCATGGAGATTGTGTTCCCTGGGGAGGGGCGGGGGACGTCAGTGCCCACGTGGGCACCATTTCCAGATCACACCCATGCAGGGCTCCCTCTGGCATGGTGGCCAGACGGCATTTGGGGCCCACTCCTGGGCTTTCCAAGATTCTGGGGCCTCTCCCATTACCTCCCCAATAGTGGGGGAGCCCCAGGCTTCCCCTTGCGTCATCCTGTGTCTGCAGAATGACCGCACAGGCATCCCCAGGGGCGCAGGACAAGCAGCTCCGGGGGGTGTGGTGGCTGCTTCCTGGACAGTTTGGGTGGGAAGTGGGGACACGTCCTGGCGCTAATTGCAGCTGAAGGGGGGATCTAGGTCGGCAGAGTGTAATTACCCAGGCTGGATGGGGGCCAAGATGTCATGGCACTCCTGCCTCTAATGAGGAACAGGCTGGCTCCTTCTCCCTCCGGCAAACCAGTTGCCCTGTGCCCACCTGTCTGCACATGGCACCAGCCTACTGGCAACAGGGATGCCAAGCCCCTGGGGCTGTTTGCGCCTGTAACTCCCTAACCAGAGGAGCACCTTCTTTTCCTTGGTACCAGAAGGTTCTTGGGGTTTTCTGGCCCCAGTGGGCTGGGAGAGGGCAGCTCTGTTGAGGGGCCAGGACTGGAGCAGGGGCTCAGCCAGTGGATGGGTGCCCATCTGTGCCCTCCCTCCTGGCTCCAACTGCTTCCCTGGACTTAGGATGCCCCAGTGCCAGGGCTGCCCAATTGCCCATGTGGTTATGTTTCTGTTACCCCCTTTCTGAGAGGCACAGTAGCCCCTGTGCTGCAGGGTGAGGGGAGACCAGCCTCCGGGGCCTCCCAGGCAGCTGGGGGAGGGGCGGGGGCCCTGGTATTCCCTTTGAAATGCCCCAGTGACAAAGGAGAAACCCTCAGGCTTAGCCCTACCCAGCGTGAGGGGCAGGCATCCTCCATTCCCTGAGGCTGACCTGCTCTGCTCTCTCTGAACCTGCCAAGAATGCCCAGCCTCCATGGCACCACCTTGCTGCACTGTCCATCTGGGACAGTCACTTACACTTAGCAGGTAACGACAAACCAAGGACTGTAGTGGGATGGGAGTACCAGCAGGGGCCTGGAGGTCCAGGTGGGTGAGGAGTGTCTGCTTGGGGTCAGAGGTCACAGGGCTTTGTCTTGTTATGCCAGCAACAGAGCTTTCCATGGGCTGAATTCCCCCAGGGGAGACTCTCTGCCCCGCTGTCTGCCCCCACTGAGCCTGCCACATTGCCTGACACTCAGGCAGAATTTGAGGCAAGAATCAATGGGGGAGGCAGAGCTGGTCTGGTGACTCCACCACTGGGCCAGGAAGGGCAGGTCCCATCCCTGCGGGACAGCAGATACGGGTGGGGGGAGAGGGAGGCACCTCTGCTATTGAGCACTGCCTGGGGCCTGGGCCTCCCTCTTCTTGCCCGGCTCCACAGGGAGGGGTTAGGGCTGGTGTCAGGACCCTCCGAAGGTCCTAAGCACAGGCAGTCTCCCTGAGAACACCTGCCCCACCCCTGGTGCTGGGTCCCAGCTGAGCTCCCAAGAGCAGAAGGGACAGGCTCTGCTTTGCAGCAGGAATCGGGGGGGTGGAGCAGGCATGGCCACCTTGGGGCTCTGGCCAGTTGCTGAGATTGGGCAAACCCCAGGGACCGCTGGTGGCAACATTCTGTCCTGCCCAGTGCTGAGCAGGAGCCGAGAACTGTGCTTGGGACAGAGAGCAGGCTCTCTGGCCCGGGAGAGTGCTGGGCCGTGAGGGGGCAGGGTGGCCCTGTCCCTGTGCCAGGAGGCCAAGGGTCAGGTTCTGGACCACAGACTCGGGGGCTGGCTGGGATGACAGACCCTGGTGAGAGGTCAGGTGTGAGTTACCTGCGGCATCCTGAACTAGGGGGACGTCACTTTTTACTGGAGTTGGAGTGGCAGTGATGGGCGGGAAGCTGGGCGGGCTGCTGATGGGGTGGGCCAGGCCTCGGGTGGCTCCGAGAGTGGCACTGAGCAGAGAGTGTGAGAGACAGGGCGCAGAAAAGAGGCATGGGAGGGAAGGGAGGGGCGCCCGGAGCACGGCCGGTGGGAAGGATGGGGCCGGCGGGGGCTGTGGAGCCACTCGGGCGGCCTCGTCACCAGCGGCAGCAGGAGGAGGAAGAGGAGGAGGAGGAGGAGCCGGGCAGCCTGGAGAGGGTGGAGAGAAGCAGAAAAAAAAAAAAAAGAAAACCAAAACAAAGAACAAACAAACAAAAGAACCAAAATGAGAAACCCAATGGCAGAAGCAAGTATGATATGAAAATATGCGGACAGATGAGGAGCAGAGAGGTTCCAGGAAGAAGGAAGGGGGGAGGCGGCAGGAGGAGAGAGTCGGGGCAGAGCAGGGGGGAGGCCTCGGGGCTCAGCGGCGCCTGCGGCAGAGCCCAGCCTGGGTGGGACCACAGTCTGGGTGCTGGGGACAACGGCAGAAGGGCCAGGGCTGGGTGGGGGGCGGGGCCTCCACAACTCTGCTCTGCAGCTCTCAGAGAGGACAAGCCCTGGTCCTCTCCCAGAAACTGAAGCCAAGGGCTGAGTTCTTGGGGGGTGGGCAGGGTGGCAGGAGGTGGCCTGAATGACCCACGCCCCACAGACCAGCTGGCTCCGCCCCACATTGGCCTGTCCTTTCTGAGGCCCACCTGACCGTGAACCTGCTGCCCTAAGCTGGACCCAGCAGTGTTAGGCCTTGGAAGGGAGGGCCTGGCCCAGGCCGGATGCCCCTAGGCTCTCGATGTCCCTTCCTGGCCTGGGGCTCGCCCGCCGTTCCGAGCTCCCTGGCTGCCTGCTCACCTGCTGCGGTGCTCTCATTGCCCACAGGGGTGCTGGAGCAGCTTCGGTCCATGGTGGATGACTCGGAGGACATGGCGCCCGGGCTGCAGCCAGTATAATCCATGTACTCATCTGTCTCTGTGTCCATCAGGCTCGGGGGCCCCTGAAAGGAAGCGGAGTGCCCTGAGGAAGCTGGGCCAGGGGCCGTGCTCCCCATAGGGGGCAGGCTGTCACCTCGGGTGGCATGGCCCACCACCTGGAACAAGAGGGGGACGTGGGTAATGCCCTCTCACCACCGTCGGGAGGTGCTGCCTGTGTTGGGTTCTCACCTGGGAGGGGGGCACGCGATCAAAGTTCTTCCCCAGCATCCTCCTCATGTGCTTCCGGGCGTGAGAGGTCATCTGGTGCTTCAGGAGGAAGGAGAACTGGCAGCCCTCCCGGATGCAGTGGAAGTGGCTGTTCACCTGGTTGTACTTGCACCCTGTGGACACAGCCCCCGGCGGCCATGAGCCTCCCCGGCTGCCAGTGCTCATGGCACCTGCTGCTCATTGGGCACTATTCTGGGCACAGGGAAGTGTGGTCAATAAGGCAGAGAGCATCTGGGGAAGGTCATCCCCCTGGTGGCATTCCCATGAGGAGGGCCTGGACCCCACCCCACCCTCAGGAGGTCCTAGGCCACCTGCCACCCACATTCAGAGGTCCATGGGCTCCACGGCAAGAGACCCTAATGACCTGTTCACTACGTCAGCCACCTCCCAGCAAGCTGCCTGTCCTCACATCTCCCGTGTGGCCTGCCCCCCAGACCTTGTTTAGATGGCTGCAGGCCGGCTGGCCCGCGCCCTGTCCCCACCCATCTCTGCTTTGCTCTAGGCTGAGAACAAACAGAACTGGCGGGATTGAAACAGTATCAGCAAAGGGCAGGTGAAAGCCTGCCCGTTGCCACGGCACCTGAGCTGGTCAGGTGTCTTATATCATCCCCTAGCTTTGTTTGGCCCCAGCTACCACCAAAAACACCCAAAGTTGAGCAAATAACAGCACCTACAGAATACCCTGACACCTGTCAGCTGAGCCCAAGAACAGCATAGGCCAGTGAGTGTTGACATCTGTTGCCATGGTGACCAGCCCTCTCCTAGGCCATGAATTCTTTTTGAATTAATATTTGAAGGAAAGGCTTGTTTCCTTTATTTCCTGGCAGTTGCCTTTGAGTATCTCACCCTTCCCCTATGGAAGGGACGGTGTGCAGCAGGCAGGGGCCCCACCTCTCCCCCAAGACCCTGCTGTCATGGCCGCCTGCGTCACAACAGGCCTGGCCTGCAGCCCAGGTGTCTGCCCTGTCTGCCTGCCTCCCACCTGCGTCCAGTTTCCAGGCTCTCACTGGGCAGATTCCTGGCCCACATCTGCAGGCCCATCGTGAGGCAGAAAAGTGGGCTCTGTCCTCTGCCTGCTGGTCCTGAAGCCCCTCCCGTAGGCATCCCCAGGAAAGGCTGGGGCTAGCAAGGCCTTGGTCTCCATCTGGGGTAGCGCCCCTGCCAGGGCCCCCGCTCTGGAAGCAGAGCTAACTCTCAGGCATTTACTGCTGAGCTCATGGCCATTTGTGGCCTCCTCTTCCCAGCCCCGTGGCCACCTCCTTCTGGGTTGCCCCAGGTCTCGGATTCTCCAGGCTGAGCCCGCAATGTATCTGCTTGTCCAACCAGATCTCTAACATCGAGTGTGGTGCTCAGAAAACCTTCGCACCGCTGCTACCCACCCAGCATGTCCTGAGATGGAGCAAGGAGCCCAGCACTTCGCTGTGGCTCACTAAATAGCTGCTGAATGCATGAACGAACAAAGGAACACACCACAATTCATTTGGGACAAAACCCTTGTAGTTCAAGTCGTGGAAAGTGATCCTGAGGCAGGGAACATCTTCTATGACTTACCTGTAAGCCCTCTGGAAAAGAAAAGGGAAGAGAACCAAGCCCAGGCCTGATGCCAACAATGAGGCCCCAGGGCATCTCCCCGGGGTTGGGTAGAGTGTACCAAGTCACCCTCACCTCTTTTCCTAGACTTTTTGGGTTTTGACTGTTTTCCTGGTTTGACAAAGCCAAGCCTGTGACATCTGTGACATTTTTAGCAAAATATGGAACCTGATGTGTGGAGGTAAGGGGTGGGTGCCAGGAGAGTGGCCCAGGCCACTCACAGGCAGAGCCACAGTCCTGCCACTGCTGCACGTCCCTGCTGCCCGGCCCCGGCCTTTGGTACCTAGCCTGCTGCACTCCTCACGCTTGGTGAAGTACTTGAAGCCATTGGCTGCCCGCCTCTCTGCTTTCTCATGCTTCTTTATGTGCCATGGCAGCTTGGTGGTGATGTTGGTCACAAAGTAGCAGCCAGTCCGGAGACAGTGGTAGTGCCCGCGCATCCGGAACTCACAGTGCTGCAGGGAGGGACAGGAGGGTCAGGACCAGGCTGATGACTTCCATGAGCTCCCACCTGCCCCATGCCTCTGGGCAGGCCCTTTGCACATGTTTTCCTCCACGCTCAGAATCAGAAAACAAAATTGTGTAAAGGACCTTTCATCTGTTAAAAAGCAGCATGTCCCATTTGCCACTTGACCAAACGGTCCTACCTGGTATTCCTGCCTTCCCTGTCTAATCTCACACCCAGAGCAGACATCACTAATCTATCTTAGCAGTCTGGATGTCTGGACTGAGGTAGACATCACTGACCTATGCTAGCACTCTTCTCTGGATGCCACCTCCAGGCCCAGGCTCCTTCTCAATGCACTCAGTCAGGCTTGGGGGTAGGCCTTTATGGCGAATCTGACCTGCCCTTCCTGTCTGGGGTATGGACAGTTCAACCTCTTTATCTGTCCAGTGGGCCTATTTAAAAATTCTAGGCCTCTGGGGAAAGAGCATAGTTCCAGGATGGGCAGAGTGATGCAAGGGCATAGTGGCTGCCCAGCATGTAGTCACCACTGAGGGTCATGAAGAAATGACAGACCTCACCAGCTGAGCACCAGTCTGGGCCCTGCCCAGCGGTCTCCAGAGGCCGGGCACAGACAGTGCCCTTGCCAGAGTCCGGAGGAGGCCCATCCAGAAAGGGTGGGAGAGGCGGAGTCCCCGCCAGGAGGAGCCAGTCCTGGGCCCTGCCCCTCCCGGCCCCCACCCCAGGCTCCGCCCCGCCCCGTGCTGACCTGGTTGGGACAGAGACACTGAAGAGAGTAGTAGGCAAACTGGTCTCGCACGTTCACCAGGTTGTTGCTGGGGTTGATGTGGTCCAGGCAGTGGGACTCGGCCTTGCCGGAGGTTTTGCAGACGTACTTGCAGTTCCCGAAGAGGCAGTGGAAATGGAACTGGTTGGCATACTTGCAGTCCGTTGCGAGGCAAGGGTCGCTGCAATGAGACCACAGCCCAGAAGGTCACTGGCATTCCCAGAGCCCTCCCTGCTGATGTCCTGACACTTGCTCACCTTGGGGTTGTGCTCCCCAGCCCCCTGGGGTGCAGGGAAGAGGAATGGGCACTGGGCTCCCTTCCTGCTCAACAACGCAATTCAGTCAGAGGAGACTACAGATCCCAGCATGCCTGCCTGCCTTCTTTTTGGAGCTCTGATGGTATAAAAGGGATTGCCCTAGCAGGCTGCCCAGAGCATTGCATGCTGGGACAAGTAGTCCCCATGGCCACACCTCAGGATTATAGATAAGGATGGCTGTAATAACTTCTTGGATATGAAAATGAGGGATGGTGCTGCCAGCCCTGGCGGGATGCCAGCGAGGACCTGGCTGGCAGGGCACGGGCACTGCCCTGGTTGTGGCTGACTGACAGGGTGCAGATGGGTGGGCAGTCCTACCAGGAAGCTCTGCTACCACGGGGCCTTGGCCTTGGGGGACTTGTGCCTGGGGTCAGATCCTGCTGAGGCACACAGCTGCTGGGACTACCAGGGTCAGCTTGGGGCTTGGGGTGCCCACCCGCTCAGAAGCTCACAGCCAGTGGAGTGGCTGAGCTGGCGGGAGAGGGGCGGAACATGGCTGAGCCCGAGGCTGGCCTGCTCTGAGCGGCAGCCCTTGCCTGAGCCCTGCAGGGCTGCAGACAGGTGTGGAGGCCACACCTGCCCTGGGGGAAACAACGTGCTGCCCCCCACAGAGGCGCCGGGTGGGAACTCTGGCTATGTAGGAGACACCAAGAGGGCAGCTCTGCTGGGGAGGCGCCTGGAGGAAAGCAAGCTGGGGACAGGAAGGAGTGGAGCGCAGGTGCCCTTCCATGCCGTGGGCCCAGCCGCGGGTGCTCAGACAGGGAGGACAGCTGCCACTCAGGCGGTATATGTTCACATCCAATTTATTACTTTTATTGAGAACAGGAAGCCGCACACGTAACGATACAGAGTCCCCGTTCTTGCCGCAGGAGCCGCCACCATCCAGTGAGGAAGGGCCCTTTCACCCCTGAGGCTCAGGCCATTGCACAGGTGGGTGTGAGCCTGGAGGGAGGCCCGGCCCCCTCACCCCTGACCCATCACTTCCCTTGCCCTGCAGAGACTCAGCCAGGGTGCAAGCCACCGAAGAGGAAAGGGGGCCCGGATGGAGATGCAGCCCTCCTTGCTGCGCGAGGACCGCTGCTCCCAGCCCACCTAAGCCAGTCCTCACAGTGTCACCACGGGCCCCTCTCCAACCGTGGCCACTACCACCACCGTCTCCCCCCACCCCAGTTGCCTGCTCTGGGAATAGGCAGTGAGGTAAAAGCAGCAACATCTTTGGCTGGAAGGACACGGCCCGGTGGCTGTCCTGGGAGGGCTGGGGACAGCAGGGCCTCCTCTGCTACCCTTGCTAGTACCTACTCCCGAGACACGCGGGACACAAGGGACTCCCGGCTCATCGAGGGACTCACTTCTCCTGGAACTGGAGGAATCCGGGTTTGACCTGGGGCTTGGCGTTTTCTAGAGAAGTCGTTGCCAAGGGCGAGGTGGGCAGGTGAGGCACTGCTGCTGGAATCTGAGGCATCTGGGGTATGGTGGAAGCCAGCTGCTTCCAGGCGAGCAGGGTGGGGGTGGGGGGCACGGCAGCCAGGCTGGGGGCGGGTCCCTCCAGAGAGGAAGCCGCAGCTGTGGTGACGGGAGGCGCTGGAGGGGACGAGGGGGCCAAGGAAGCTTTGGTCTCAGCAGCTGAGGCCGGGAACGAGGCCTCTGTGCCTCCTTTCACTGCTCCGCCCTCCGTCCGGAAGTGGAAGCTGCAAGAGGCGGGAGAGGATGCCTCAGCTCGGGAGGGGGGCCCTGGGCAGGCTGCCCTTCCTTGGCTGGGCCTGCCTGCCTGCCTGGGTCTGACTCCATCGCGGGCCTGGGGGCCCGGGGCCGCCCCCGCACCCCCAGTGCTAGGCGTGAGCCCACTGGGAGGGGACAGCTGAGGGCAGGCTGCTGTGTCCACTGGTCCTGAACCTGGCTCCTGGCTCAGCCCTAGTACGCCTTCCTACTGTGACCTTCCCGATGTGCCTGTCCCCACCTCTTCCCCACACGGAACAGGGGACAGGGACAGCAGGGCCTGGCTCGTGCAGCCTGTCTTTCCAGAATCTGCTCTGAGATTTAAGGTCGGTCTCGGTGTTCCGTACTGTCGGCCGACTAGCAGTTGGGCTGCCTGAGCAATGGGAGCCCGATCGGCCGCTCCGCGAGCATGAAGCTCTGTTTTAAATGTTTCCATGTTCTGGGTTCAATTACAGCGGGCAGCAGGGCTTGCCCCTTTTTGGCTCAATGGGTTTTACAAATTAATTTCGTTATTTTTAGGTTAAAGAGAATCTGCAAATGCAGTACTGTGGCTTGGAAAAGGCTTCACCTAGGTCCCTGGCTGGGTCAGGGCTGGGTCTCCCCCGGTGACTCTGCAGGCTGCGCAGGCGCAAGCAAGGGGAAGCCCACGTTTTTTCAGGTAGCACCTTCTGAGAAGAAGCCAGCTCAGCTTCCGAATCTGCTGGGAACTGCACACGGGTCCTGCTGGGAGGCAGCTAGAGGCCTGTGCGGCCCCCACCCCCACCCAGCCCAGAGCCAGGCTGGGATTAGGGGGTTAGGTTCAAGTGGACCCACAGCCCCCGACTCACTTGGCATGCTTGATGGCGCCGTCCAGGGTGCTGAAAAGCGCCCCGCACTCCTCCACCACGCAGTGGAAGTGGGCCTTGTGAAGGAAGTCGCACTGGGCGTTGCAGAAGTCCTTGGTACTGAACCTGGGAGAGGAGCCGTTGTTAGGAGAGAGCCTGGGGCCCTGGCGTGGTGCAGTGGGGCAGGTGGAGGGGCTGGCCCTTCCCTCACCCTTGTTTTGCCAGCAGGCCCCTCACCTGCGAAGGTACACCTTCCAGGGCTCTGACAGCTTCTCCTGAACCAGCGCCTTCACGGCCTTGCCCAGGAAGGGCGACGACTCCACGGCAGCGCCCCCCTCCACTTCCATCTTGATGTTCAGCAGGCTGCCAAGGTTGGGGTTGCCCTGAGACATCTGCAAGGAGGACAGTGCTGTGCCTGGGACTGCGGGGCCTCGGGACACAGACGTGGCTGCCTGGGAGCAGCAGCAGCTTTGGGCAGCTCAGGCTTCTCGAGACGGGCCAGAGCATTGTAGTGCCAGCAGCAGGGAGGAGAGGAGGCCTGACCCCACGTGGCTTGGGCTATAGGGGAGCCCTCTCTGAATGGACGCTGCCCTGGCCCTGTGGAGGTGCCGGGGCTCCTCCACACACGCCCCGTGCTGTGAGGCTCCATCACTCAAGCAGAGGCCGAGATCTGGGGCACACACTCCAGCCTAGTTTTCCCCAGACTTAGCGGCTCCCTGGTTATTTTCCTGCCAGGTTTTCAAAAGAAGTGCAGGAGGAGGAGGGACGGGGGAACCCCTACGAATTTCTTGAGAACAAGAGAGGCATACAAAGGAGGCACAGAGAGGGAGGGTCGAGAGGAGGGCCAGCGGGGAGGGGGAGCCCCCATGGAAGGGCGTGGGGCTCCAACAAGGAACGAGGGGGTGCAGGGGGCAGTGATGCAAGATGGGAACAGGGGTGCAAGACAGCAAGCAGGGGAGGGAGGATGACAAAAGACAAGGGCACCTGGGGCAGAGGACAGCAGGGGCTCCTTCCCCACCAAGGGCCCTGCCAGGACCCCCACCCATGAGGTCTGGCCCAGGCCCGGCTCCTTCAGCAGTCACTTGTGTACAGTGACCGAATTAATCTTGCTGTAGTCAAATTTATCATGTGAAGGGGGAAAATATATTTGAGATGATGTATAATTTACAAAGACCCTGCATTATTTAAAATAAATATTCTGGAGCGACCTCTGCAGAAGGCGTCCGAGACCATCATTCAGCCCGAAAAGTGGAAATTGATGCTTTGCTTCCACTTTAGTCACCCCTCCCCCATCCCTTTTTAAACAAACAAAAAGTATATAAAATAAATATATAAAATTAATAACTAAGAGCGAAAGAAGTTAGAGGGCTCTGGGAAAGCTTTTGGAGCCCTCCGTCTGAAGGGAAAAAAAGGGTGTCAGAGGCTGGAATATATTTCTTCAGCCAGTTCATTAAATTAATTTGTAAGCAGTGGCTCTGAAATTATATCCGATGAAAAATGGCCTCAAAATTTAAATGGTACAAACTCATCTTATTAGAGGCAAAACATTAAAAAACAAACACATCCCCCCCACCCCCCAGCACAGCTTTAATTTCTCTGGGTGGGGGAATGGGAGGCGTGTGATGGATGGTTCTTACCTTATTCATAAGCGAGGATAAAAGAGATGAATTTGCCGGGACTGCGTGGCCATTTGATTCATTACTGGAACATACAAACCAAGGGGCTTTAGCTCAGAAGTATGTGGGATTGAGCCCAGAGACGTACCCCTCCCAGCCCACCCCCGGGGCTCCGGCCCCACTGCCACCTGTGCCTGGACAGGAGGGTGACCGTTTCCGGGAGGGGCCGGCCCCTGTGGCATCTGGCTCTGAGGGTGCGGTCCCCGGAGCCTCCCGCAGGGGAGCAGGGCTGGGAGGCCCCACATCGCCTCACCTGGACTCCTGCACAGTGAGGTCTAAACTGCGGTCCTGGGAAGCCTCTTGGGGAACTGGGGCCCCAGTGTTCTCACCGGGCTCCTGTTTCACCGAGGCTGCGGGGAACCTGGCGGGGGTGGCCTGCTGCCCATTTCCTACAGGGGAAGAGAGGGAAGATGGTGTTAGAGAGGCTGAGGGCTTCATACGGGCACATACCAGAAGCCCCCGATGGGAGGGAGCAGGCTGGGTGGGCTGGGGCCCTGGGGGAGCCCTGGCTTCTGGTCAGCAATTCTCCCCATTGACATGATCACTTGTGACACTTACCCCTGTGTGGCAATTCTTCAAGTGATAATTATTGCAAAATTATGTCAAAGTTGTCCTGGCTCTGGGCCTCCTGGAGGAGAAGGGCGGGAGGCTGGGGAGGGGGCCGGGACAGGGGTGGGGGCCTTCATTTTCTCCACCGACTGTCACAGTCAATTTGTGAGGCTGCCGCTTAGGCTTTTATTAAAGACTCTGTTAATGCTGAGGGAAAGTGGCAGATCTACACTTGGAGCGGCACCCCCTCCGCAGGTCCCCAGCCCACTGTTGCCGGGGTGACGGCCCTGCCTTCCACGGAGCATGCCCAGGAGGGGCGTCTGCTGTGTCAGGGCTATGGAAGCTGACAGCCAATCAGGGCGGTTCAAACTATGTGACCTCGCCCGTCAAGCTGTCCAGGGCAGGGACAGGAGGCCGGCTCTGGCCAGGCCGGGTTGGACCGGGTCTGGGTTGGGGGGAGAGGCGGGGCCGGGTGGGCAGGGGATTCGGGAGGCCGGGCAGAGCAGGGGTGAAGAAGTTGCTGACAGGCACATGTCCACTGAGCCTCTCTCCACAATCCCCAAGTGACTAAAATATTAATCTGCCCCAAGGCACTGTAGCTGACAGAGAGCTGCTTCACAGACAGCAAGTGGCATTTTATTAAAAAATAAAGGAAAATGGGCCCCCCTCCCCTTCGCTTGACCTTTCTTTTGTGGAAGGAGATTTTTCTAATGAAGAAGTGCTTGATGGTCTAGTGAGGCCCTGGCCAGAAGGGTGTGGCCTGGCAGTCCTGCTGTCCCTCCCACACTTGAAATGGAAGGTGGGTCACTCCAAGTGACCAGCTGATAGGCGTGTCCCCCTGGGGACATTACAGTTCTCTGAACTCAAAGTCCACATTCCAGGGTCTCCCACTCACTCACCCCAGGTCCCTAGGGAAACATGGCCCTGTACCCCCACCAGCACTGATGACCCCCTGGGGGATCTGGGTAGACCCTGGGCTGGGCTGCAAGGATCCCCAGTCTCAGTTGCCCTTGCAGGGCACATGGGCTCAGCAGCCGCATTGCTGAGGTCTGAGTCTTAAGCTCGCTGCCTCCCAGCTTTGTGCCTAGGAGAGAGACTATCCCTCTGTCCCATCAGCTCCACAGGGCCGGACTTCTGTCTGTCTGGGTCCCCAGCACCAGCTTGGTGCCTGGCTCTCAGACAACTAACCCTGATTACCCAGAACAGGGGAAACAAGAGGAGGAGCCAGGCAAACCGAAAAGCCAAAGAATCCCAGAGATAAACAGTAGGAGAAACTTAAAAAGAGCGGAAAACTGGAGAGAAAAGAGAACTGCTCCCCACAGTGAGCCAGAGGGAACACAGAGGTTGCGCTCTGAGGCTCCAGTCATGCTGTCCGACGGCAGCCACTGGCCAGGTGTGGCGAGGCTAACGTAATTCTAACTGAAATCCAGTTCCTAGGCCATTTCAAGGACTCAACAGCCAGCTGTGACTAGTGGCTACTGTACTGGACCGTGCAGACTAGAAGGTTCCTTCTACCAGACAGCACTGAAGGAGAGGGACAGATGGGACAGGGCATCCTGAAGTGCGGCCACTCCACCACTGGGCTGGACTCATGTGCCTCCTGGGTTGTCTGGAGAGGCCCTAGTGAAGCCTGGGGATCTGGGGCCCCTCCCGTCAGGAAGGTTGGGAAGACATGGGGGCGAGGGGTGAGGAGCCCGCAGCTGCCCCGGGGATGCCCAGGCTCCCCGGGAGATGAGGAAGCAGGCAAGAGCTGCCTGGGGTGGAATGGCCAAATGAGGCGCCTCGAATAGGAAACAGACAGGATGGGGGCAGAGACCAGGCAAAGGCCGGGGGCTGGAAGGGAGGCGGGGGGGAAAGACATCTCTACCAGCCCCTCCCCACCCCCAGGCCGGCCGTCACCTGTGCCCGGGGGGGTCCCAGGGTCCACAAGCTGCTTGCTACCTGGGCAAGGCCCAGCCTGCTCACCTGGGTCAAAGGTGGTGGAGGGCTTGAGGGCTGCCGCAGCCAGCCTGGCCATCATGGGTGAGATTAGACCCTTGCTCGCAGAGATCCTCTCCACGATGGAGGCAGGGGGCACGGTGACAGAGGCCGCCGCCGCGTCACCGACTCCTGGGGCAGCCAGGGTGGGCGTGTCGGGAGGCGCTGGGGCTGCCGCTGCAGAGGACATGGCACCCATGAGGCCGGCGGCGCCCACGGGCAGGGAGGCGCTCCCCCGACCCGGAAGCATGGGGAAGTAGGGGGCGGCGGGGGGCAGGCCTGAGTTGGAGAGGGCCAGCGCCAGGGGGATGGAGCTCGGCAGGCCCTGGGACAGCAGCCCGGAGATCTTGCTGTTGGGAGGCTTGGTGGTGCTGGGCACGGCTTCCACGGTGGCGGAGGCAGTGGCCAGGGAGGCAGAGGACTGCTGGCTGGTGGGGGAGGCGCTCAGGCTGGAGTTCTTGCTGCTCAAGGCAGAGAAGTCGACCAGGTCGTCGTTGCTCGACTCCTCGTGCTCTGTGTCCTTGGCGCCCAGCAGCGCGGGCGGCAGCCCCAGCATGGCCGAGGAGCGGACGTGCCGCCGCTCGTGCTTGCGCTTGTGGGAGGTCATCTGGCTGGTGGAGGTGAAGGTGAAGCCGCAGCCGGCGCGGATGCAGTGGAAGTGGTTGGTGGCCTTGCTGTACACGCAGCCCTCATACTTGCACTCCTCGTACTTGTAGAACTTCTTGAAGCCATCCTTGGCGTAGGCGTCGTCCTTGATGTGGTAGCTCTTGTGCTTCTCAATGTCACACTTGTTCTTGAAGGTGAACGTGCAGCCAGGGCGCCTGGATGGGACATGGGGAGCCTGTCATGGGGCCAGGAGGCCCTGCCCCACTCCCACTGTGGCCCCAGGAGGGACGGGCTTCCAGCTGGAAAACCAGGCTGGACACTAGGGCAGGGCCTCTGCGTGGCCCTGCACACCTGCACCTATGCCCTGGACGAGGCGGGTCCTTGAGGTGTCCCAGGCCTGGTTCCTGGCTTCCCATCCCTTCCCCAGGCCAGGAAGTCTCCCTGGCCAGGCCCCTGCTTACCTGCAGTGGAAGTGTGTGGTCTTCTGCCCGTAGAACTGGCAGTCGGCTGTGCCGCAGTCCTCGGTGGCTCGGAAGCGCTGGAAGCCGTCGTTAATGAGCTGCGTGTTCTTCTTGTGGAAGTTCTCATGCGTCATCACATCTGACGTGCTTGTGTACACCTTGTTACAGCCCACCTGCAGGGGTCAGAACGGTGGTCAGGGAGACTGAGGCCAGGAACTGGGCCGAGGTCAGAGCAGCTGTTCCGCTGGGTATGGCTGGGGCTGCCAGGCTGACCTCCTGCTCGGGGGAGCTTTGGCACCTGCAAGATCCCTGAGGTTGCTGGGCCTTGCCCGTGCTGAGGTCAGGCCGGGCAGGGTCTGAGCTGCTGAGTCTCGGGGCCTCTGGACACCTCAGGCACAGGCGTGGGAGCCCGTGCTGCAGAGGGCGGGTTGCAAGTCCCGATCCGGCTCTACCTCTGAAGCCCCTACGAGTGGGCAGGGCTAGACCCTGGGGCCTGGCAGTCACCTTTAGCCCAGGGACTCTCTTAGTGGACTGTTTCTGGCAAAGGGCCCTTCCCACCCCACCCTGGCTGGGCCAAGGCAGGCAACGTTGCCATATTGAGTAAAAAGCAGTGGAATCTGAACACTCTTGAAGGCTGGGCCGTGCCAGTGTCTGCACCGTCTCAGAGCCCAGAGAGTGAGCCCCCCTCTCCTCACGGCCCAGGTTGTTCCATGGAGGCCATAACAACCCCCTGACAAATACCGGGGGAGGCGCGGACGCTGCTATTTGCAACCCCAAGTTGCTCCCCCTGGACCTGACACCTTGAAAAAGCCCAGACTCTGCGTGGCATTAAAACAAAGAATTAAACAAAAACCTCCTCAGGAATCATTTGTGATGCTGCTCTTGGTGTTAAAGCCTGAAAAATGTTGGTCTGTATAAACAGCTCACTGAATTTCACCCACACCAAGTATGGCCATGGGGAAGGCCCCGCCCTGGCCCACCGAGCGCCCAGGACTCCCTCTATCGCCACCCGTCCCTGTCCCGGGTGGGGAAGGGAGGCTCCGGGCCCACGAGGACCCCCGTCCCCGCAGCCTGCCTCTGGGGTCCGCGGCTGGGCGGGGCACCTGCATGCAGTGGTAGTGGGTGCTCTTCCCGTTGAGGTGGCAGCCGTGGTAGTAGACGCTGCAGTCGTCCAGCGGGCTGAAGCGCATGAAGCCGTGCTGCAGGGAGTTGTCGCGCTTCTTGTGCATGTTGTAGTGCCGGATCACGTCCTGCTTGCTCGTGAACCTCTGCAGGAGAGTGCCAGGTTGGCAGGAGCCGGGCCTATGGTCTGCTAAGGGCGCTGGCCCCAGGGCCCTCAGGTCTCCCTACAAATGACCCTGCTTTGGATTGGGGCAGCACACTGGACTTTGTGGCAGCACACACAGGAGCAAGCCGAAGGTTCTAGAACCACAGACCTTCTTGACCTCTCCCAGGCTCTCAGTAGTCATGTCCAGGATGGAGATGAGTCAAGCTAGGCCTTTTAAGGCAGGAGCTCTGCTGAGTGACAACCTATTTTGCCCAGTGCCACCTACAGACTATGCCAGGCTGGGCTTCCTGGTGAGAAGGAGGGAGAGCCCTTGGGCAGACTGCGCATGCTCCTATCTTATTTGCTAGCTTGGCACTTAACAGAAGGTGGCTTTGGACATAGGTGACAATCTCTTTGAACATCAATGTCATCATCTACAAAATGGGGCAGTAATACCACCTCATAGGACACTGGGTCAGTCAATTAGATAAGGTACCAAAGCTGTCTGGCAGGCCTTGGTGCATGGTAGATGCTCAATGAATGGGAGCTTAAATTATTATTGCCAGGATGTACATGGTGCCAGATCCCATTAGATGCTGTGTGGGTAGAAATCAGGGGACATGGATGGCTGGTGGTTTTTCTGGGCTCTCTGCCCACCTGAGCCAAGCTCAGGTGGTCTGAGCAGACTGGGCACCCCCATCCCACTTCTGAGATGTTCTTCCACAGCTATGGCAGTGGGAGGAGCAGGGCCGTCGGCCCAGGGCCGTACCTGGTAGTTGCACTCAGGGTCGAGGCAGTGGTAGTGCTCGCGGTACTGGTAGGCACAGTGGATGTGGCCACAGTGCTGACTGCCCGAGAACCTGCAGAGGGGAGGGGGCAGGCTCAGGCCACTCTGAGGCCAGCCTCCAGGACGACTTTTCCAGGGCCCTCGGCCTGAGCAGCCAGGAGTCTGCCTACACCCCAGAGAAATGCTTCTGGATCTCGGGGCCAGTAGGACCCCTAGACCCACTGAGCGGAAGCCCCGCCCACCTGCCCTGGGAGCCCACCCACACTGGGATTGAGTGCCAGGTGAGGCGCAGGGCTGGCCTCGCGGTGGGGAGGAAGAAGCCGGGGCCGCTGAGAGTCAGGACAGAGACTGGAAGAGACCCCGGACGGGATGGGATGGTGACAGCGGGGGCTCTGGTGTGGCCCGACTGCCTTCTCTGCAGGTGCTTCCCGCCTGCCCCCTCCCCAGCATGTGGATGCTGGCTGGGCCAGCCCAGGCCTCTGCTTCTGAGAGGTGTTAAGGGGCTCTCTCTGTCCTGGGCTTTTCTGACACTTGAAACAGTCCAGAGTTATGAATTTTTAAAGCACAGCATCTGTTTGGCTTCCCGTGGCAGGGAGCACACTCTCCGGCCAGCTCTGCAGCCAGGAGCACCGTCTGCCGGGCCATAGCCCTGCTCCCAGGAAACCTGGGCCTCCCCCAGGCCCCGATGCTGCCGGGGTGTGGTTCGCACGGCCTCGGTGATGGCCGCCTTGGGGAGAGCACCCCATAACTGTGGAGAAGGCAGTCAGCTCAGTCCGCCTGCCCACCAAGGATGGCTTGAGACTGTGGGAGGGAAGCTCCCCTCGTAAGGGCAAGAACCACTTGCAAATAAATATTTAAGCTGAAGCTGCCAAAAGGGCCATCTGCTGAGGCACTGATAATAATGATAATAATAATAATAAAGAGAGCAGAGCAAAGCTGAAAAGACAGAGAGGGACAGGCGGGTGGAGACAGCACAGGACAGGAAGAACCTGAAAGATCAGCAGAAAGACAGATGCCAGGGCACAGCCCTGCCATGTGCTGCCCGGTCAGTGCCTGCAGCCCAGGGCCTGATTCGGGGGAATCCGTGGAGACGAAGGTTCTCTGCCTGCCAATCCCGCTGCCTTAAGGATGTATAGAGGCAGGCTGGAGTCAGGTGGCGAGGGCGAGGCCTGGCCCGGGGGAGCACACCCAGGCCATGGCAGAGGACAGCTGCCCACACCCCTTCTGGTCTGACAGCTCCACGTCACCTGCACCCCACCAAGGCTCTGTGCGAGCTATGGAGGGCACCCTACACTCACCTGTGGCTGGGCCCTGCCTCTGTGCCCCTTTGGGGACCTTGCCAACCTAGGGCATATCTGCGTAAGGGTGTGCGGCCCGGACCACATCAGGGAGCAGGGGCTCTGAGACGGGGCGCTTGGGGGCATGAGTGTGGGGTGGGGAGATCATGGGCGCCTGGGCACTGGCAGTTAGATGGGTGTGTGTGTCCCTAGTCCCCAAGTATTCCTGGCACCCTCTAGCCTCTCTGTGGCAGTCTCCTCCCCAAGTGCCTACCTGGCAATATATTTCTGGTAAATGTTTACATCTTCGGTGACAGCTGGTTTATCTGCGGGCAATCCGTTCCTGGCGAGAGACACACAGGGCATAGTGGATTAGTGGATAGAGGGAGGCCTCAGGCCCCAGGAACATGGAGGGGCAGCCCGCGGCCCCAGAGCCCTGGCCTTTCTCTCCCTCGCTCTGGTGTGTTCTGAGGCTCCCAAGGGGGGACTAAGAAGGCCCTTTGGCAGAAGCCTGGCACAGGTTCAGTGAGTCCAGTTGCAGCAAGGCTGGAGGGCTCCACCTCGGGGTCGGGCCTGGCCTAGAGTCCAACTGGGTAGGAAGCCGGGAGGCTAGGGCCTGGCCCCCCTCACACGCGGGGAGTCAGAAGACTGCTGGCTGAGGCGGGGTGAGAGTGCCACAGGGGAAGAGGCAAGGGCGGTGCCAAGCATGCTGGCTGGTGGGGGGAAAAGCCTCTCCCCCATGCCAAGGGTGGCTCCCAGCTCTGCTCCCGGGCTGTCGGCCCGGCCCCCAGGGTAGGTATGCGGGGAGGTTTCTCGCTCAGCCCCACACATTCAGCCATGGGTCACTTTACCATTACTGGGGGTTAGCACAGAGCCACCCACCCCACGCCCGGCCTCCTGCTTCTCTCCGTGCCTTTCTCATGGCCCGGGCTCTGAACTCAGGACCCGGAGAATGGCTTTCCAGCCAATCACGAGCCTGCATTTGGCCTCGTGGCAGCAGGCAGAGAAAGCCTGTCATGGGTGAATAGGGGTCACAGCAGGCCACGGTGGGCGCGTCAGCAGATGAGCTCTGCACAGAAGTACCCGGTACGTGAGTGTGTGCGCGTGGCGAGACGTGCGATGTGTTGCTGCACAAACTGAGCAGGGGCCATTCTGTAGGCAGAGGAGTGTGTGTGGGAACACACGTATGAGAATGCGAGCGTGTGCGGGCCTGGGCGCGCAGTGGGATGAGTGAGTGGGGTGTCTGCAAGCACCAACTCCAGAGGCAGGGAAGTGGGCCCCCCAGCTACCACAGTCCCGGGCCTGGGGCAGGGCGCGCCTTACTTGACGGTGGAGACGGTCCCCGTGGTGATGGAGTCTGTTTTGGAGAAGGTCGACTTCAGGTATTCAGGAGTATTGAAAGGCAGGGAGGCAGGTGGCTCAGGCCCTGGCCCGGGGGCGCTGGGGGCACTGGGCACGCTGGTGAGGGGTGTGGGAGCCAGGCTGGGGGTGGGCGGAACCTTGGTGGGACCCGGCTTCTGGACGGCCCGGACGTCATACTTGGAGGGGCGCCCCACCTTGCCCGTCTTGAAGGCGATGGCCCCGCCCATGTCAGGGTTGCCCTCCCCAGGTTTGAAGAGGTGCAGGTACTTGACGTTCTCCAGGTCATACTTGGATGGCTTCTTGTAGGTGCTCCCGTTCTGGGGCCTCAGGGTCTCGCCCGTCTTCAGTTTCTGGATGAAGAAGTCATACTTAGAGGCACGGGCCATCAGGCCCTGCATGGGGGCACTGCTGTGCGAGGGCAGGGGCAGGATGGTGGCCTTGGTCTCCAGCTGCGCTGTGTTACTGGGCAGCCGCAGGCCGGGCAGGGGGCCCGCCATCTCCTTGCCCGCGCGGTCCTCAGCCTTGGTGCTGTGGGCCGGCCAGGGGAGCTGCTCGCCGGCCTTGAGCTTGCGGATGTACTCCTCATACTTTGAGAAACGTGCCCGCTTGCTCAGGGCATCCTCCGAGGTGGGCAGCATGGAGGAGGCGGCTGCCTCAAGGGCAGACCCTGCGTGCAGCTTCTCGAAGCTGATCTTCCTGGCCAACTCATCCCTCGTGTTCTGGTCGTCATAGCCAAACATGCCGAGGAACTCAGTCATGGTGGAGGCCGCATAGTCCCGCAGCGAGGAGGCCTCTCCTGCGGCAGGGAGAAGAGGGACAGTCACCTCTGGGAGGCAGCAGGGTAGCCAAGGGGCAGGAGCCACCCCTCTCCCGGTGGGCCCCCACCCAAGGAAGGAGGAGGCCAGTGTGGGGAGGGGGCGGAGCAGGACATGATCTATGGACATTTGGCTCACTTGTTAGGTTTTACGACTCTTAAATTAATTTGTTTAAAAAAAAAGTAATTAATACTGGGGTAAAATAAAACGAGTTCATCAATGCCAGGAAAATCAATTTCCTAAATGTTCTGGCCGATGGCTTTTCAGTACATTAAACAAAGTTTCATAAATGTCTCCGCTCTTGCGCCTTGGCCTAATATGAAAGAGAAGTCATTTTACTGGAAGCAAGGCCACATCCCAGCCTGCCTCCCAGGGATGGGGATGAAAACAGGCGGCCGACGACAGGTAGGGATGTGGGCCAGTGGCAGGGCAATCAGGAGGGACTCTGGGAGCTGAGGGAGTCCCTGGGGAGGGCTCAGGGTGGGCCTGGCTGGCCCTGCCTGGAGGACCCCCCGACCGACCCCACAGATGGGCACACAGGCCCCAGGCCCCTGGGAGGATGAGAGGCTTGTCTCAGCCTCCCTGGGCCCCGGCCTCCCGGCCCTCCGCCAGGGCCCACTTTGCTTATCGTCTCAGACGACAGGGCTGAGGGACAGAGGTCCTGCCGATGTGTTTTTCAGCCTCACTCATGGCCCCTCAACCCGATCCAAGAAGACTGATGACATGAAGAGTCCTTCCAACCTCCTGGCGTTCTTCCAGCACATTCACACACAAGTGTGGGCCACCCGGAGGAGAGGTGGGGCCTGAGGGGCTGGCCTGGCCGGCCCGGGACAGCACGCCTGTGTCACTAAGAAGCTTGGGCCACCTCCCCAGCAGGACACATGCAAATGCACACACGTGTCCCTAGCTACCTTCTCAACACACACACACACACACGTACACAAACCAGCTCAAACCCTATACCCAGCTCCCCAAGAGGGGTCTCAGGATGGCAGGAGGCAAGATGATTCCTTCTGCATGTGGTTTTTCTCTGGAGAGGTACCGCCTTCCACACACGACCTTCCACCGCAGCAGACGTGTGGCTGGCTCTTGGTGCACACCAGTGCACTCATGCCTGCACTGCATACTTGCTCAACACCTACCATGTGCTAAGCCCTGAATCCAGGGTAGGAGCACGCAGGAAGGTGAGACTCACATGATCCCTAGGGGACATGCATGTTCTCTGCACCCAAGTCTGGGCCAGCACACTCGGAATGCCCAGAGTAGCAGAGCTCCTGGCTGCGACCTGATGGCACGGCCAGGGGGAGGCACGGCGGAGAGGCCCCGAGCCCCAGCAGGGCTGCAGATGGAGGGGTCAGCCTGCCAGGTCTGGGGTTCTCAGACCACACCTGGAGGCAGTCTGACGGAGCAGGGCTGGGCTTAGGCACAAGGGAAAGCCCCCAGGATGTGGAAAGAGAGGCCCTGAGCTCCTTTCTGAGCCCCTGGAGAGAGGGTGGCCGCGGTTCTAGGGACCCGGTGGGTGAGGGGAGGGCTACTGCAGCCCCTGGGCCCCAGATGGGCAGTGAGACAAGGATCCCGCGGACAGCTGTTGCCCTGGGGTGGGGGCCAGGGGGCCGCCGTCTTGACCAACTAGGCCAGGGTGGGGGCCCAGCCTGGGAGGAGTGGGCTCTGGTTGCTAGAATCAGTGGCTCAGGGACCAGGGAAAGGGGCTAAAAATAGCTGGAGGCAGCTGAATCCTCGCTATATATGGCAGAGGAACAGAAGGCTTTGAAGAGCAGGCGGCTCAGAGCAGGGAGGGGGCCGGGCAGGGGTCCTGGGGGCCGCCCAGAGGCCTACACTCCCCCGGACCCCAGTACCCAGAGAAGGTGGCCGGGGGGCCGAGACCACAGTGGGTGGGGAGGGTTCCAGCTGCCTCTCGCTGGGGCCCAACGCTGAGCTGGGCCCCCAGGTGTCAGACTGCAGTCCCGCTGGACCTCGAATTGGAGGCGCAAGGTCTGGGGCCACAAGGCTCCTGGTGGTTCAGCCCCGCCCCCACCCCCCAACTGCCCACTCCTGCCTGGAGTCCCAGCAGAGCTGGGCCCTGGAGGGCCTGGGCCTAGGGGACAGCAGCCCTTGGCCTGCCCCTCCCCTCTCCTCAGGCCCACAGTGATCACCTTGTGTCTGGGGATGGCAAGGGCTTTTCCTATCAGAGGAAACTGAAGGTCACACTTTTCCTCATTGATCTTGCAATGTTTGTTAATTACTCTGTCACTGATGTGGCGAAGGATAATTAAACAGCTCTGTTTATATCTTATATGCATAATTATGTGGCTGCGCAGGGCTCCCTGCACAGGGAGGCGATGTGCCCCTCACTGCAGGGGGAAGGGGATAGGGGAGCAGGCAGGGGAGGCTCAGGGCACCAGGCACAGGCAGGGAGGGAGGCTAGGAGATGGAGGAAAGACCCCCAACCCGGGGTTCCGCTCCTAGTGGGGACCCCCTTCCACCTGACTCCCCAGGCCCTCCCTCCCTGAATCGGAAGAGCTCGGGGCTGCTCTGAGTGGTGAAGACGAGGAGACTCCAGGAAAGCGGGGCCTCAGCCATCTCAGGGGAAGGAGGTCAGCCAGAGGGCCGGGCCCAGGCTGGGTGGGCTTGGGCCGTCCTTGTGGGCCTGGCCTCACCCCAGGAGGTCCTGCCTAGGACAGCTAGCATCCCTGGGAAAGGGAAGGAGGGCTGTGAGATGCGGTGAGGGCGCTGGGGAGAAACAGGATGGGAGAACAGGCCTGTCTCAGAGCTTCTTGGAGAAACCTCCCTGAGAAACAACAGCCTTTGCGGACACGCTTGTGTGGTTTGTGGTGTTTATGCCCCTCACTGGCGCTGCTCCCAACAAGCTCCCCGCCGTGTAGGTGTGTGCAGACAGTTGTCACCCCCGCTCCATCTCTCTGCCCACCCAGCCACCCCTTGCTTCCTGAGGACCCACTGCGTGGTGGGCAGCCCCCAGCCCTGTTCGCACACCTGGGAAGCCACCTCCTCAGGTTCCTTCCTTCTCACCTGAGGCCCCAGCCACGTGCTGCCAGCCACCTGCCCCGTTCTGGCGGTTCCCTTGGCCCAGCCCACCCCTCCGCAGGAGTCCTCACTGGGTCTGGGCAGTGCCGTCCCTGGAGGCAGAGCGAGGGAAGCAGCGTGCTCTGTGCGCATGCTGCTGCTTCCCCACCGGGCCTCCCACCGGGTCCCCACCACGCGGGCCTCAGATACCCACCTGAAGCCTGCTTGGCACGGGGGCTGCTGTCGTCCTTGGAGGCTACCCTGTCCAAGTCCTTCTCCTCCACGATGACGCTGCCATCCTTGGAGAGCTCCTGGCTGTGGTCCTCCTCATCGCTGCAGCCCTGGGGCTGCACCATGTAGACACCCTCGGGTGGCAGCTCCAGGCCCTCGCGGACAAGCCGCCCCGAGATGGGCACGGGTCCTGGCTCCTCGCTGTACTCCCCGTTCACCCACTTCTCGATCACCGCCCGCCTCTTGTCCTCTTCGCTCCGGGGAGCCCGGGCCACCCCTGGCTCAGCGCCACCACGCTCCTTGTCCCGGGACCGCAGCGGGCTGCCCTCGGTGTGGGAGCCAGCCTCTGCTCCCTTCTCCACCACCACCTGGCGGCTCAGCTTGGCGCAGATGGCATTGAGCTTCAGGCCGCCTTTGCGCTTGGCGGCCATCGTAGGCTTGCCTGCAGGCGGGTCAGTGCACCGGGCGCCTTCAGCTGCAGGGATGGAGAGGGAGGTCAGAGGCAGGCATGCCTGGATGCCACCCGCCTGCAGCCACGGCACAGGCTCTGCTCTGCTCCGGCTCCCTGCCTAAGGTCTTCCCAACTGCAGCTTTGTCACACTACCCTGAGACTGCCCGGTGCATCTTCACCGGGCAGTGAGCTCCAGGGAGCCAAGCTCAGCTATCACTCTGTCCTCAGAGCCTGATACTAAGCCGGGCGCAGAAATATCTCATAAATGAACAAGTGAGTGAAAGAAGGATTCTTTTGACACGAGAGGCAGTGCTCTTCCCAGTCCCTGGTTCCTGGAAGTGTCTTATACTTGCTTGGCCCGAGCTATCTCCTCTGAGAGGCAGACCACCCATGCCCCAGGATAAGAGGCAGTGTGTCCTTTGACATGCAAGGACCCTGAGGCAGTCAGGCTGAGGAGTGGGCGTGGGGCAAAGCCAGCAAGTGATGGTGGTGGACTCCACTTGGAATCAACTCCACTGCTCAACCTGCCAGGGAGGAGATACCCGAGAGCCAGGGGCAGCCCGTGCCAACGGGCGAGCGTCTTGCCCTACTGTCCCAGCTGCACTCGGCTGGCACCTCTCCCTACCTGAGCACCTCCTCCCCAGCAGCACCTCCACCAGGACTGGTCCCTGAGCCCACCTGACTCCTGCCTCTGCTCACTGGAGAGCCCTGAGATCTCTTTTCCCACCTACCCGGGGCCCTCCTGAAGGCTTCTGCTCTTTCACACTCCCCTCTCCATCAGGGGTCTCCTGGCCCCTTCACAGACCCTCTCGTCTCCTCTGGCTGCCTTCTATCATCTCCCCCTCTCCCCAGTCCTTAAGCAGGGCCCTCCAAGGGCTCAGCTCCGCACAGGGCCACATGTCTCTGTCTGAGGACCTTCTGCCTTGGCCGGCTCCTGCAGCCCTGGAGGGCCTAGCCTGCACCCAGCTCTGAGAAGCACAGTGGGAGCGAGTCAGCATTCCTCGGATCCCCACTGGAAAGCCCAGAAGTTGCCACTGCATGCTGAATTCTGGAGCATGCCAGCCTGACGTAGCCAGAACCTCTAACCAGGCTGCTACCTCCCTCAGCTGCTGAGTGGGGCACCTGGGGCCTGGGTGGGCAAGCCACACACAGCAAGCCTGAAACCTGCCATAGAGGCCAAGGGAGACACAAACACCCGTCTATTTGTGTGTCTGCCTGCCTGGCCATCTGTCCATTTAGTGAGCTCCTACTGTGTGCCAGACCCCATGGTGGGTGGTAGTCAAAGCAGACAGTCTGAGCTCACTCTGCACACAGGGAGACCCACTGAAGTCTCTCAATGTCCCTCAACAGAGGAGTGGGCGTGTCTGAGTTCCACGTAGGTCAGGGTCTGAGTGAGGGCAAGGGCGCTGCTTCCAGGTCCGAGATCAGAAGGGGCTTTACCTACAAGATCAGTATCCTAGACACCCACACTCCTGGGAGCCCGGAGGGAGGTGCACTTGGACAGGGGTGACCACACCTGGGTCTGCCCAGGGACCTTATCCCACAAGTAGATTTGGTTCGTACACATGGTGCTTGTCCCAGGTATAAACAAGGCCCAGTGGGCCTCAGATCCTTGCCAGGAGCCAGCTCCTGGAGCGCCCCACGACCTGATCCCAGCTGGGCCAGCACCAGAGAAGGGTCTGCTTGGTTCCCTCGGATGCCCCCAGTCCTCTGGCAGGCCCTGCCCTTGCCCAGGCCAAACGCCTACTCTACCCATACTGTCCACATCGCCAAGTCTCTGCTCCCCGCACCCAAGTCTCCAAGCACCAGCACCGGTTCCTTCTCAAAGCTCGGAGAGGTGCCCCTGACCACACCAACCCACCCAACCTCTGGGCCAGCTACCAGGCTTCCTGACACCAAGTTTTCCCCAGCAGACCCACAGGCAGCAGGCCTCCCCTGGCCCCCTTTGTCCTGCTCTGGTGGGGAAGGGAAGGGTGGGAGTGGCACAGCCTGCTCTGTTTTCACCAGTCGGTAAGCAGCCAAGTGTGTATGGCAGACAGTAAACGAACCTATAAATATTTACCCCAAGGAAGAGGGAAGCAGAAGCTCCCAAGCTCACTTGCAGCTGGTGACACCCCTTCCTTGGGCCCCCACCCATCCTGGAGCCTCCTGGCGCTCGGGCCCACCCAGTCCAGCCCACCCTCTCCTGATCTCTGCGTGTGCCTGGTTTGGTCCCTCAGGGGCCCCCACCAGCTGCGAGGCAGCTGTGCACCCCGGGCCCACCCCTAGCCTGCAGGCCCCTTTGCTCCGCCTACACCCCCTACACCTGCCCTCCAGCTGCTGCTGTGCCCCAGCCCACCTGTTTTCCAGATGTTGCCCTCCCTCTGACTCTACTGCTGGGCCCAGGGGTGGGCCCGGGTGGAGGGCAGGAGGCGGAGGCTGAGGCTTTGGGTAGGGGATGTGCAAGAGCGGAGGTCCAGGTCGCCTGGCTGCCTGCCTTCGGGCCACCCCATGGGGCCTCTCTCCCCGCCCCCTCCCAGGGTCCTGGGACCTACAGACTGCCTGCCTTGTGGTCTGACCTCAGGCTCCTGCCCGTGTAAACATTCCCCTGAGTTTCTTCCCTAAAATATAAACGCCGTGGCCGGGCCTCAATGGGAGGAAGCCATCCGTCCCCGGCCCTGTCACTGCCCCTTTCATCTCTTTCCCGCCACTGGCCTGCCCGCTGCTCTATTTACACTGGACACTTCCTGTGGGAACAATGCTGCCCAGGAGGCAGGCCTGAGCAGGAGGGTGGGAAGGTGAGTGGACGCCCGCCCGTCCTACTTGCCCAGGAACAGGCTCCCTCGGAGGCAAGGGGCGGGGCAGCTGAGGTGCGCTGGCTGGCCTGGGGCAAGCAGCAGCCAAACCTGCACTCTGGGGAGCGCAGGGGCTCTCCCAGCCTGCAGCTTCTGGCCCCGGGCATGCTGCACTGGGTGGGGAGCCCCGGGAGGTGGCACAGCACCATGGTATGACCTGGCCCTGCCCCTCGCTAGTGCTGGGCTCCGGGCAAGCCTTCTCCCTGTGCAAGGGCTGCAGACTGTCAGGTGAGAGGGGCCCTGTCTGTGCCAAGCCCAGGGCCTGGCAAGCAAGGACCTGGGAAAAAGCAGCTGAGCCCTGGTAGGGGACAAGCAGGCAAGGACAGTGCCACACCTGGGCACGAGATCCAAGCCCAGGGCACCTCACCTGTCCCAGCAGAGGTAGGGGAAAGAGGCGAGGCTGCAGGGCTGGGTCGGGCACAAGCTGCCTGCTCAGCAGCAAACAGCCCCTCCCCGGCTCCCAGGTCTGATCCTTTCCTCCCAGGACGCCAGACTCAACAAGTCCCCAGAAGGCAGTTCTCCGTCTCCAAGCAGAGTGGATCCTGCTCAGGGTGCAGAGAAGGAAGGGTGAGGACTGGAGTGTCCACACACCTTCTCGGGCACTATCTCAGGAGGCCTCACAATGATCCAGTGAGGCAGGCACTGGCACTGTCCCGTTCGATAGAGGAGGGAACATCCTGGGGCCACGAAGACACCCCAGAGCCCAAGCTCACGAAGGCCAGGACTCAGCAAGGCACCGCGGCTGCCACAAGGTCCCCACAAATGCTCTTGGGTGGGCTCTAGGCAGCTCCAGGACTCCCTGCACCCTCACTCCTGGTTCCCATAACACGGAGCCCCCTAAAGTGTTAACTGCAATGGGTAAAATGGTGCAGCAGATTGCTACAATAAATAATTTACTGATATTTATAAATATTCAAATCAGCCAGCTTCAGAAATCAAATGAAGGGAGGGCCTCAGGAGAAGGGCCCGTTATGGCAGGAATCTCATCACTCCCTCCAAAGGCTGGGGAAGGCCAGCGCTCCTGCCAGTTATGGGGAAAGGGGGGCGCCTGTAGCTGCACCTGGGCCCCGAGTCCCTGATCTCTGGGCTCTGAGGTTGAGGTGGCTGGAGTGGCTGCACCTCCTCGCTTGCCTGGTCGGGGCCAGGCCCTCCCCTGCCCTGAGCAGCCTGGACGGGCCAAGGGGACGAGAGGCTCCAGCACCTACACCCGACCACCTGGGGCTCAGAGTCGCTTGTCCTGCCTTGGCAGGGGGTGGTACCCCTGGGCTGGGCAGGCCTGGCAGCCCCTCCCCACCCGTAAGTGATGTGTTCCGGGCCGGGCGGCCTGTCATCTACCAGGCTCCCGGTGCTTTATGGGCTCTGCCCGGCGGCTCTGAACTCCCTGGTAGGAAATAAAGTTCTCCCTGCGCGTCCCTTCTAAACATTTCACTCAGTGGAAACGGTGTTTAAGAAAAATGAGGACATATTTCTTCCTAAGGATGCAGTGTCCCCTTTGGGCAGCCTAATGCCCGCTGTATATCAGGTGGTGGTGAGGCAGGGGCCCAGCGCCCATCCCGTGGGCCGGGAGTGGTCAGGGGCCCACCTGCTTGCTACCATGCAGCTCAGGGCCCATGCGCACTGCTGGGCCACTCTGATGGCTGCCCGGCCCATGATGTCTAGAGCCACACGGTGGTGGCTGGAACTTTCTGAGCTCCTCCCCAAGCTGAGACAGTGCCAGGCATTTCACAGCGTCACCTTCGTGATCCCCCAACATCCTCATGTGCCTGCTGACCTGTCCCCATTTCCAGATGAGGAAGCAGAGCCCAGCGAGGTTCGTGGCTGTCCACAGTCATCCAGCCTGTGATGGAACCAGACTCCCACAGCGCTCGGACATCCAAGGTCACATCCCCCCTCCACAGCCTCCCAACCGGGGGATGGCAATACTGGAACCTCCAACCTGACACCCCTAAGAACTTGAATTTGACAGGTCACCAGCCCCAGCTTTGGGGTGCTATACCCATGGTCATTCAACACCCTCTCTGAGCTCCCATAGGCCAGGCCCTGGGCTGAATCCTGAGGATACGATGTGAGAAAGACAGACTGTCCTGGCTCCTGCATTCACAGCTGCTCGGTTTAGACAAGGGGCAGACGTTCAGGCCATTTCAGGTCCTGGTGATGGGAAGTCTAGGTGCTGCAGGAGTGGGTCTGGGG